TCAGGCAATCCACTCACCTCAGCCTCCCAAAGGCGCGGGATTACAGGCTGAGCCACCGAGCCTGGCCAGTCTGCTCTGACTTTTAAATGTGAGTTTTGGTCCCTCATTTAATGTGTAGTTCTGAATCTCCAGCTCCTCTCAGTGGATTTGCTATCCCATCACACTAAAGGTGCTCAAAATGAAACTTATCCCCTTCCTCTGAAACCTGTTCCTTCCTAGCTTTGTAATTTATTTGGTGGCTCTCTGTAGACAATTTCCTTTGAAATTCCTTCTGTGTCTCCTCTTCCTCCGCCCCCCCACCGCTGCCAGTGCCCACTGTACCAGCCTGTGTCATGGCCTTGTCACCCAATGCAGGCTTACTGGAAGCAGTCTCTCAGATGACCACTGGTGAATCTTACCCCACTGGACTGTTGTCCCTAAACACACCACTTTCATATGTCATTCTAATGACCCCACCCTTCCTTAACCACTCCTTTGCTACTTATCAGCTCTCAGATTTTGTTTTCCTTTGTAAAGCACCACTTCTGCCTCAAGTGGCAACTCAGATCATACCCCTTTCATAAACTTTTTCTGGCCACCTCAGTTAGAATTTTTCACTCTGTCACCGCAGCTGAGTGCAATGGCATGATCACAGCTCACTGCAGCTTCTAACTCCTGGGCTCAGGTGATCCTCCTGTGTCAGCCTCCCAAGTAGCTGGGACTATAGGTGCATGACACCACACCCAGCTAGTTTTTTTTGTAGAGACACAGTCTCACTATGTTGCCCAGGCTGGTCTCTCACTCTTGGGCTCAAGTGATCCTCCCATTTCTGCCTCCCAAAGTGCTGGGATTGCAGGTGTGAGCCAGCCTTAGTTTGAATCTTTATCCCATCTTCCTGAAGCCTTTATTTGATTCTTACTTACTGCCCCATGTTTTTGTGTTTTTTTGAGTTAAAGTCTCATTCTGTCGCCCAGACTGGAGTGCAGTGGCTGCTCCCAGCCACCGCAGCCTCGACCTGCTGGGCTCCGGCGATCCTTCTACCTCAGTCTTCGGAGTAGCCAGAATGACAGGCATGCGCTACCACGTCTGGCTGATTTTTGATTTATTGTAGAGATGAGGTCTCCCTGCCCAGGCGGGTCTTGAGCCCGCGGGCTCAGGCCATCCACTCACCTCAGCCTCCCAAAGGCGCGGGATGACAGGCTGAGCCACTGAGCCCGGCTTGCCCCATGTTTTCAGCAATTGAATCGGTCAGGATTCATAGTTGCGAACAGCAGAAGCCAACTCTCGAATTTAAGCAGAAAAGGAGTTTGATGGATGATTTAGTATAGTTCTCAGAATCTCTCGCAGGGCTGAGAACCAGACTTGGAGACTGTATAGCCACAGGCAATGCACAAAGTCATGCTATGAAGAGACATCTGTTGCCACCACTGGACGCAGTTGGCGCTGTAGCACCGGCAGTGCCACCAGTGTCATTACTGCCTCTGACCCAGGGGGTCATTGCTGCCCCCTTGCCAGAGTGAAGACTGCATCATCGTGGCTTCTTCTTGTCACTGGTTCTGACTTAAAACCTGAGCTGGAGGTTCTGATTGGCATCACATGCCCTTGCCCTTGCTGCAGTCTAGATGAGGTCTAATGTTCATAAGGCAGAGGATTTTCCAGATGTGGCAGGGGATTCCAAATTTCAGTCTTCCTCTGAAACCTGTTTCTTCCCAATAGAGGATCACGTTTCCACTCTACTTTTTTTCTCCTGGGTATCTGACTTCTCCCCAGCTCACAGACCGAACTCTCATACTTCTTTCTAGCGTCAGACTGCCTCATAGAGAGCCTTGCATACAGCAGGCATTTAATAAGTAATCATCAAAAAGGCAAAGCACTATGAATCGGCTAGGATGTTTTGGCGAGTATGATCTGGCTTAGCCTTGTGGTATTGTCTTCATTGTGAACCTATCTGTATTTTACTTTGTAAATTAACACTTTGCACTCAGATGTCCTCTCTAAGGGGACATTATAAATCTGGCAAACCACTCGGACATAAAGAGATTGCTGGTGATTATACAGGACAAACTGACACCACTGCAAATTTTTAAAAAATATATGTTTCCTTGAAGTTTCCATTCAAGTTGCATGAAAAAGCAAATAAAGAGATGGAATCTATACTGAGATATATGTTAAAAAATATCAGCTGTCTTCTTTCTTTTTTTTTTGAGTTGGAGTCTCACTCTGTCACCCAGACTGGAGTGCAGTGGCCGCTCCCGGCCACCGCAGTCTCATCCTGTTGGGCTCCAGCGATCCTTCTGCCTCAGCCTTCCAAGTAGCTGGAACTACAAGGCGCATGCTACCACGCCTGGCTCATTTTTGATTAATTGTAGAGACAAGGTCTCGCCAAGTTGCCCAGGCGGGTCTTGAACCTGCGGGCTCAGGCAATCCACTCACCTCAGCCTCCCAAAGGCACGGGATTACAGACTGAGCCACCGAGCCCGGCTCAGCTGGCTTCTTGTAGAAAGAGAAGTGTGAAGTGGTTTCACAGTGGTGCACAGACTGGACAACAAATTACATATTATTAATGTGGGAGGGAGAAAATGAGACTGCATTGTCTGCTCTAAGAGAAAAACACCACGTGGAAGATGTCAAACAAATTACTATTGTACATCATGTATCAATGAACCGGCAGTGCATGTCGGCGACTGTTATACATGCTACCACACGTTCGAAAAATATGTAAAATTTTGATTTTTTTTGTTCATAAATAAGCTCCTCAATGTCCAAAATTCCACTATAAGCCAGATAACACTACAATCAAATAATTGACTCCAACACTTTACTATTTAATATGAAGTGATTCCTTTTGTACTGTTTTGTAAAAAAGTGTGGTCAGGTAGCTGGTAGTGATCCATGAGATGTCTCCAAGGGTTAATAATGATCTGGGCCACTAACACCTGGAGTCACCTGGAAAACAGTGCCCTTCTCGCCTCTTCACAGGAGCATAGAGTCGTGGGTTCAATGAGTGAGCTGCAGGGCCTCTTGTCTCACTAATGTGTTCTGAAAAAGTTGAGTATTGCTGAGGTACTGTGCGGTCTTTCTGAAGTAGAAAGCATCAGCCAGACAACTACAATTGCACGTGGCTGTTGCAGTGCTCAGACTGCAACCAGACTCCTCAGCGTAGTTGCTTCTCAGGCTGGAACCACTTTATTACCAGTGGTTGTGAACAGGGTGTTTGAAATGATGGGAATAGAGTTGTCCCCCAAAGCTCTCTCTAACCCGAAAACTAAGTATATAATTAAGAATATCTTTGTAGTTATAAAGATATAAATGACTAGATACCTGGAAAATATGAAAATATACGAAGAAGAAAATTACAATCCCACCCACCATGAAAACTATTGTAACATTTTTAGTTTTTCTTTACAGTGTTTTCTTGGATTATTAAACATTCTGCATAAATATAACTTAACGTATGACATGTGGAGTCACAAAAACTGTTCTCCTTCTATTAAGAGCTGTCCATCATGGACCACGCTGCGGTTATGTTCCGTGTGGAGATTTAATTCCTTCCACGTTCTCCACACGCACACATCAGTGACTGCTGTGCAGCTGTAGCCAGTCGCTGAGTCTGTGGTGTTTCTTATGTCTGGTCTGAGGGCCACCCACCCTGCCGTCAGCAATGGCTCAGAGGCCAGAGGGAGGACTGGCTCCATAGTTTCTCATCTGCCCGCTTAAGGCAGCAGTGAGCTCGTGGCTATGGCTCTCGGTGTGGCCACTGTCTGGTGGCCTCTTTGGGCTTGCATGAGGCCTGCCAGAGCCATGCGCAGGCTGGGGGGATTCATCCATTCACCACATAATTATTCATCTTCTCTTGATCTCTGTCCTGGGGAGGACAAGGTGATGATCCAGTCTTGCCCCACACGGCTCATGGTCTGGGCAGAGCCCCGTGCAACCACAGAATCCAAAGTCTGATGGGCCCTCGGTGTGGGGCCAAGTCAGCCAGCCCAGGAGCTGGAAGAAGGTTCCACAGAGGAGCTGTGCCTGAACTGAGGTTTCGGCTTACCAGCCACCAGTTTACAGCTGCTTTTATGTTACCTGCCTTGTTCTAGTTCTTGCCTCTTGACAATCAGCGAGGTTGGATAGGCTTCAGCACTCGTGCCATAACTGGGTGAGCATGATGTCTGGCCCACGTGCCCTATCAGATACTGCAAGTGCAGGGAGGAGATGATTGTGATGCAGGAGACGCAGCCACACGGTGCAGGTCCCCAGCCAGGGGACGGGGAGGACAGTGCAGTCGTCTCCAGGGACGGGGAATGACAAGATCTGGCAGTGTGGCAGATGCCAGACAGAAAGGCTGGGTTCTGGGAGGTGAGAGGGCAGGTTGAGACCTGAAACTGGGCGGGGCCAACTGTCAGAACCCTGGACTGGACTGGGCCAGGGCAGGGGAGGCCATGTCTTAAGAGGCCCCCAGGCCCGTAGAGCACATCCAGGTGGTTATGCAGTTCTTGGGTTTCTAACAGTGCAGTCTGGGCTGTGGTCTGCAAGTCCAGCTCAGGCCCTGGAATCCAGGTTTGGCGCCTGGCTTCATTTGGAGCCTCTGTCTCTACCAGCGTTGGCTTTGGGCCTAGGGTGCTCTGGAGCCTTCTGTGGGGTCATCAGTGAAAAAGTAGGAAAAGGGGCGAGGCGGCATGACATTGCAGCAAGTTATTTTTTCCGTTATCAGAATCATCGTATTAAGTGGAAGTTTTATTTCACAAAACTCTTAGCCAAGGAAAAATTACTGTGAATAGTATTTGACTTGTGTCTCTCAAAGAACTCCGAGTGGTTTGCAGATACTGCAGATATTCTAGCAAAGTTGTTCTCGTGTAGCTGTTTGAATAGGGAGGATGACTTAGAAAATGCGATTCTGAGCAGATTTATATGCAGCCTGTAAAATGTAGTCTTTCTCTGGCAGTAATGAGTTTTGGTTATAATTGCTTGGTAATTTTGCTTATTAAAATGTACATTTGTTCATTTAAAAAAATTTTTTTTTTTTTTAGATAATCCCCTATGTTGGTACCATTTCTGATCCATTGGATCCTGGAACTTTGATTGTCATACGTGGGCATGTTCCTAGTGATGCAGACAGGTAAAGTCACTGCCGGAGGCAAGAGCATGCATACAGTCATGTGGGAGAGACCGTTGTGATACTTGGAAGCCTGACTTGCTTTTATCAGCAGCCCTGGCCGAAGCGCTCAGGAGGTTAGGGAGAATGACTGGATAAAGGTTATAGGGATTCTTTTTTTTTTTTTAGTTGGAGTCTCACTCTGTCGCCCAGGCTGGAGCACAGTGGCACGTTCGTGGCCACCACAGCCTCTACTTGCCGGGCTCAGGCAAGCCTTCCGCCTCAGCCTTCCAAGTAGCTGGAGCCACAGGCATGTGCCACCATGCCCGGCTAATTTTTTGATTTATTGTAGAGACGAGGTCTCATCAAGTTGCCCAGCTGGTCTCGAATCCTGGGCTCAGGCAATCCTCTCGCCTCAACCTCCCAAAGTGCTGGGATTTCAGGCTTGCGCCCCCACTCAATTCTTTATCTCATTTTAAGATAAAGAATCAAGATATATCATTAAAGAAGGAAATGGTGGTTGGGTGACAGGGATAGCCTAGTCTAACATACCCACAGCCTCCCTCAAGATCTGCTTTGGATGGTTTACAGACAGCAGGTTGCTTGGGTACTAACTTTAGAGTGGTAGGCTCAACTCTCTGTGACTAAGCCCCAGACAGCAGTGGTTTGGAGAAGATGTGAAAATAAAGTCTCAAGGAGACAGCCAGACCTTTGCGGTCGCCTTCCTCAGGTCGTTAGAGAAGCGGGCCTCCCACTCGCCACGCTGCTGTCCCTCGGGCTGAAGTCCTCTCGTGACCCTAGGCGGCGGATCTGCAGCCTTCGCGTCGTGCTTTCAGTAGCTGGGTGGGTGCATGCGTTTGAGGGCGAGCAGAAGGACAGAAGGCAGGTGCTTGCTGATGCTGAGGGCATTTTCCAAGTGCTTTCTCTGAGCCTTCACGCCTGCTCCATGGGTAGAGCTTGAACTGCACGGGCAGGCCGGGATGCAGGGGCAGCTGGGAAAGGAGGTTCTTATTCTAGCAGATTTGAAACCAGTTCGAAGTGAGGGCTGAATTACTAAGGAGGAAGGAAAGGAAGGTTAGGCAACTAGCTATTTCGGCCAAGTGGGGAGTGAACGTGGAGGGATGGACCGGTCACGTGTCCCTTGGCCTGGAGTGTCGTGCTGGCCGGGCCTTTCTCGGGCTTTCCTTCCTGAGTGTCCGTGGCCCGTTTCTTCCCTCGTCTAGATTCCAGGTGGACTTGCAGTGTGGCAGCAGCGTGAAACCTCGGGCAGACGTGGCCTTTCACTTTAACCCGCGTTTCAAAAGGACCGGCTGCATCGTTTGCAACACTTTGAAAAGCGAGAAATGGGGCTGGGAGGAGATCACCCACGACATGCCTTTCACCAAGGAGAAGTCTTTTGAAATCGTGATCATGGTGCTGAAGGAGAAGTTCCAGGTGGGCCTTGAGGAGGGTGGGTGGGATCCTCGTTAGGAGGAATGAGTGCACAGGGAGCTTCTGGCGTTTGGCTGTCACCCGTTTCTGAAATCTGAGAAGGGGTTTGGCTCTGTAGTTTTTCTCTAACATGGGACCAGGTAGGTGCCTCAGGGTAAGGTGGGGCCCCGCCACTCCCTGTAGCCAGTGATTGCCCTGCAGGATGATAGGTCAGGGTGACAGGGTTTCCTTTTTATCAGAGCGTGTTCCTCCTTGAGGGCTGAGCTCTGAACCGACACAACATCATGTTAATTGTGAGAGAGTAAATTGTAACCACTGCCACCCAAAGAGCAGGGAATCTGGAGCTAGCAGGCCAATGGGGAGTCCCAGTGTAGAAATCAGAAGGGTTTTGTAAGGCTACGACTTACCCCAAGATAGTTCTGTGTGATTGTGAGATGTCTGATCCAGAGGGAATCTTAGAAATCCTTTGCGCGGTAAGTGGTTTCATGGGCTTCGGGAATGCTGTATTCCTAGTGTGCATGCGTGAGGCAGACGGTGGCCATGGAGGCCTTTACGCCTGCTGGCCCTCCAGACTGGAGATGCCATCGGCGAGTGAAGGCTCACGTCGGTGCCGCTCCTTGTCCTTTCGGCTGCTGCTCCTGCTGGAAAATCTCCCAAGCTCCACTCACCTCGCCCCGCTCTGGCCTGTGTGTCTGTGTCATTCTTTTCAACAGTTGTTCCTGGAGGGTTGTACTTTGGTTTTATCATGTTTGCTTTGCCCCTACCCACGGGATTTGAGGCACCATGAGTCGCAGGCCGTTGCGTATGCTGCCTGTTTCCTGCATGTGACACGGCACTCAGCCTGTGAGAGGGAGGGAGGGAAAAGGAGCCACGCGTCCTGACCGTGCCGTGCTGAGGACCTGCGGAAGCAGCGTCCGCGCCATCTCCCAGCTGTAGCCCATGAAGCCAGTGAGGGCTCCTACTTAAACGTAGGAAACGAAGTATCAGATAAATTGGGGGACGTGCCTTGTTCATCCGTGCAGCAAATCGACAAATCTTTGCTGAGCGTCTCCCACATACGTGGTCTCTCTTAGAGCATGGTCCCCGAGGACAGTGTGGCAGAGGGCCCGAGAGCAGGTCTTCAGCCTGGGCCACAGGCCTCCCACATACGTGCACGTGTGCACACGTGCACACATACATGGATGTGACTGCACGCTTGTCTGGGGGACACGGCCCGTGGTGCTGAAGTGGATCAGGAAGGCAGACGTCTGGAGGCGCTGCTGGTGGTTGGGCCCTTGAGTCACAGCTCGGGCAGGCGTGTCTGGAGACCCGGGGGGACGGTCTGAAGTTCAGCCCAAGGAACCACTGGCCTCGGGAGAATAAGTGCGTCATTAACTGTGCTTGGGCGTCTTCTGTACCCGTCTAGGTGGCCGTAAACGGAAAACATACTTTGCTCTACACCCACAGGATTAGTCCCGAGAAAATCGACACCCTGGGCATTTACGGCAAAGTGAATATCCATTCTGTGGGCTTTCGCTTCAGCTCGGTGAGTGTCCTTCCGTAGCTGGGGGTCTTTAGGATGATGTTTTCCGATGTGAGGGCGAGAACATCTTCAATTAGTGCTTCTATTGACATAAAGTCATGGAAATCTCTCCCTTATTAGAGTATCAATATCTTAGAAATGAATTTTTCAGACTAGCAGGCCATTTATCAACCAGGGCTTTATTATCTATAGGATCTCAAATCTAGTATGGTTCTAGCAAGACAGAAAAACGCCATTTTTAGCTAGGTAGGGGCAATTTCCTTTACATGGGAGTATAGTGGAGTATTTCTGCAAGATATTTCCTAGGTGTGGAAGGTCTGAGTCAAAGAACACAGTCACGCACTGAATAATGATGTTTCAGTCAACTGTTTCAGTCAACGATGGGCGGCACATATGACAGCGGTCCCTAAGATTACGATACCCTCTTTTTACTGTACCTTTTCTGTGTTTAGATACACACTTATTATTATGTTATAGTTGCCTACAGGATTCAGTGCAGTCACATGCTGTACAGGTGTATAGCCTGAGAGCAGTAGGCTACTGTACTATACAGTCGAGGTAGCCCAGGGAGGCTGTCCCCTCTAGGTGTGTGTAAGGACACTTTATGTTTTGACAATGATGAATTGCCCAAGATACAATTCTTTTTTTTCTGAGTTGGAGTCTCACTCTGTCGCCCAGACTGGAGTGCAGTGGCTGCTCCCGGCCACCGCAGCCTCGACCCGCTGGGCTCCGGCGATCCTTCCGCCTCAGCCTTCCGAGTAGCCGGAATTACAGGCACGCGCTACCATGCCCGGCTGGTTTTTTGATTTATTGTAGAGATGAGGTCTCGCTGCCCAGGTGGGTCTCGAACCCGCGGCCTCAGGCAATCCACTCACCTCAGCCTCCCAAAGGCGCGGGATTACAGGCTGAGCCACTGAACCCGGCTCAAGATACGATTCTTAAAATACATCCCCTTCATTAAGTAATGCATGACTATATTTGCATTTTATATTTTGATATATTTTGCTAATTTGCCCTCCAAAAAGACAAAAACAGTTTGCACTTTCAACAGCTGTGCTCATCTGCTCACTTTCTTGTTCACATGAGTCTTATTCTCCTTATTGTTTGCCAGTTTGGTAGGGGAAAGGACTCCGGTGTAAAGTGCATTTTTGGGTCAGTATATTCAAGCATGTTTTCATGTTTAGTATCATAAATTTTTGATGTATCAAGCAGGTATTAGAAAAAAATGTTTTGATGGCTATTAAAATTTAATCGTTATTCTCTTTTCTCAGGATTTGCAGAATACCCAAGGATCTACTCTGGAACCAACAGAGATAAGTAGAGAAAATGTAAATATTATATTTTTTAATGAACCACTAATTTAAAATTTTTAAATGTTAAAAATGTTCTTTTAGTTGCCATGCAAGTCAGGTGGCAGAAAGGCAGTTTTTTAAAAATTGTGAATGGGATTGTGCTTTTTATTTGGTTTTCTGCCAGCTTGAAGGCTGGGTTTTAGAAATTTTGTTTTTAACATGTGGCTGGAATGGAAGTAATGATTTGAAAATTGAGGTATAACTTCCTGTGGTGCTAGGCATATGACAAGTTTTTGCTGATGCTTACTCTGTCAATTTATGTAGCTCTACTCACCATTCTTATGTAAAAAGAACTCTCATTCTTAACTGGTGTTTAGTATTGTTGCGAAATACTTATAAATATTGAGGAGCCTGGGTATGGTGGTTCACACCTGTAATCCCAGCACTTTGGGAGGCTAGGGCAGGATGATTGCTTGAGCCTGGAAGTTTACTAGTCTAAGCAATATAGCAAGACCTCATCTCTACAAAAAAAAATTAAAAAATTAGCTGGGTGTGGTGGCATGTGCCTGCAGTCCCAACTACTTGGGAGGCTGAGGTAAGAGAACTGCCTGGGCCCAGGAGGTTGAGGATGCGATGAGCCATGATCATGCTACTGCACTGCATTCTGGGTGACAGAGTGAGATCCAGATTTAAAATAATGTGTGTAGCCAGCCTCGGTGGCTCAGCCTGTAACCCCGTGCCTTTGGGAGGCTGAGGTGAGTGGATTGCCTGAGCCCGCGGGTTCGAGACCCGCCTGGGCAACTTGGCGAGACCTCATCTCTACAATAAATCAAAAATCAGCCGGGCGTGGTAGCGCGCACCTGTAGTATCAGCTACTCGGAAGGCTGAGGCGGAAGGATCGCCGGAGCCCAGAAGATCGAGGCTGCGGTGGCCGGGAGCAGCCACTGCACTCCAGTCTGGGTGGCGGAGTGAGACTCCAACTCAAAAAAATAAATAAATAAAATAAAATAAAATAAGGTGTGTGTGTATAATGTATACATATTATACACACACACACACTATGGAGGCTGCCAAAAAAAAAAGTGTATGTATTTTTAGAGATGTCATCTATGCATTACTTTTTGAAGCTGAATTGAATTACGGCAGCAGTGTGTAGTATGACATTCACCTAATCATGCTCTGCCATTTTCTTTGACTGTCCTGCCTGTCACATGATGACACTAGCATTCATTTGATTAACGCTATTTTTTGAGGGAACATCATACATAAAATGTACATACATTTTTTTGGCATCCCCTGTATATATATATTTGCTCTCACAGGGGGAGAAGATACATGTGAAAGTTCATTTGCCAGTGCACTGACTGGTGTTCTATATACAGGGGTACAAAAAAGAGTGTATATACATTTTAAGAGTGATGTTTGGCGCAAAAGATGGCGTTAATCAAATGAATGCCAGTGTCACCATGCAACAGGCAGGACAAAGAAAATGGTGGCAGCATGGTTGAGCAAATGTCATACTGCACATTGCTACCGTAATTCAATTCAACTTTTAAAAGTAATACATAGATAACATCTCTTAAAATGTGTATACATTTTTTTGGCAGCCCCTGTATATAGAACACCGGTCAGCGCATTAGCAAATGAACTTCCACATGTATCTCCTCCCCCCGTGGGAACAGGTGCAGTTTTAAAATGGCACCTTTGCTGTTGTTTTTTGATTTTTGTAATAAATAGCTGGAACTATAGATGCACGCCACCACACTTGGCTCGTTTTTGAATTTTTGTTGAGACAAAGTCTTGCTATTTTGCCCAGGCTGGTCTCAAACTCCTGTGTTCAAGCAATCTTCTCACTTCGGCCTCCCAAAGTGCTGGGATTACAGGCATGAGCTACCACACCCAGCTTACCTTTGCTATTATTAATGGAGAAACCAACCTCAACACATTGATACCTCAGACACGGAACAGAATCTCAGTATTTTAGGGGTATCCTTTCATGGAGCTGCTCTAGAGACTGGCGGCAAGGGTGGGCTTTGTGGTTAAAATGCTACTCTCTTTATCTGGCCAGGAAAAGCCGAGGTCAGAACACTGGACTTTAGTCATGGCTCTGCCACCAACTAGTTGTCAGCAGTCCAAGCTCCTCCTGCTTTAATATTCTCACCCTGCAAATGAGGATCAGTGAGACATGCTTGAAGTTCATGTGTAGTCCTATGAATAGTTATTAGTTTATTGTGGGGGATAAAGGCGTCCGATGAACAGGGCTGTCAGACTCTCTTCCCAACCCGTGTAGCCCTCTGCAGCTCCATACCACCTTCTCACATAACACTGATGGCACATACGTCACACCTGGGACATAGCAGGTACTGATGTCTCAGGCTCTGGCCAGGCTCAGCTCAGTACAACCAAAAAGATCAGACCGCTCATATTATACAACGTAATCCTTCCTTTTCGAACTTTCTCATGTGTTTCTTTCTCTTCCAATAGGTACAAAAGTCTGGCATGCCACCGTCGGTGAGTATTTTTGCTTGGGCTGTTACAAGTAGAACATTTTATAAAATTGCCTAGAAAATGAACATTGTAAGCCTTGCAAGCAGCTTCATTCATTCTATACCTTATTGTAGAACTGTCTCCCTACAGCCTAGTAATAGAGGAGACATTCCTAAAATCGTACCCAGAACTGTCTGCACCAAGAGCAAAGATTCAACTGCCAGTCACACTTTGACTTGCACCAAAATCCTACCTACCAACTGTTTGTCAAAGGTTTGAAAAGCCCAGTGTTTTCTTAACTCTCTATACAAATTAAGTTATAAATAGCTGTTATGTGTAACCTCTATCCCCAGTAGACTTTCACGGCAGCCACTCTGTTTGTGTGCTGTCCCCGGACAGATTTCAGGCAGTCAAAGGTGTGTCTCTGGGCCATTCATGCGTATTTTCTCAACTCCTCCTAGCTTGGCTGCCTTCCCTTCAAGCAGGACACAGAACTGTGTCAGACCCCAGGCACAAGTGGCTTTTTCAGTGAGGTTCACTCATACAGAGGGGTTCAGGTCCTACCTGTGTCTGTTCATTTCATCATCTAAAACATAGTCATTGAGTGTTTGCCACTGCCAGGGCAACTGGGACCAAGGTATGTGTAGTCTGTCCCCTCATGGACCTTACAGGGTCATGGCTCTTAAACATTCCCTGGGTGTTCTTTGACATGAGTTTTCCTTCAAGGTCCCTTTCTGCAGGCCCCGGGACCTGACTGTGGCTTCTTTTCAGAGCCTGCCATTCGTTGCAAGGTTGAACTCCCCCATGGGCCCTGGACGAACTGTCGTCATTAAAGGAGAAGTGAACACAAAAGCCAAAGGGTCAGTATCAGCGTGAATTCTTTTCCGGCGTGCCTGTTACCACCTGACGCCCATCCCGCTATCCTGAGGCAGAGTGGGGCTGTTGTCACGATCCTCATTTGCAGGGTGAGAATATTAAAGCAGGAGGAGCTTGGACTGCTGACAACTAGTTGGTGGCAGAGCCATGACTAAAGTCCAGTGTTCTGACCTCGGCTTTTCCTGGCCAGATAAAGAGAGTAGCATTTTAACCACAAAGCCCACCCTTGCCTCCAATCTCCAGAGCAGCTCCATGAGATCAGGCAGTAGTTTCTATGGCCTCTTTTGTCATGTGACTTACGAAATTTCTTGCTTTAAGAATCTTCTTCAGAAATGTCCAGATTTTTGAAAGCTTGAACTGAGAGCTGCTTCCTAGAAGGTAGCCTACTTTCAAGAGGGAAAGACTCATATCCACAGTGAAAGGAGATGCCTGTTGAGAGGCTCCCAGGCTCCTGCAGCCTGAGTCGTGACTTGGTTTCTCAGGGCTAATCCTTCCATTCCTGCCCAACCTGATCTCAGTCTCATCATTGATTTTGAGGGTTTTTGGGTATTTTATTTTGCAAATAAAGTCAATGGAATGCTGACTCAGAGTTTAAATTTCCTCTTTCAAATCTGCATTTCCATGTTTAGACGGATTTCATGCATTTATCATTCATAGTTCACATCTGCTTATTAAAATTGTAGAAACTGCCACTCCTGTTTCCTACTTGGTAATTAAGGCTTGTTTTTTTCCCCCTCTCAAAAGCTTTAATGTTGATCTACTGGTAGGAAAATCAAAGGACATTGCTCTACACTTGAACCCACGACTGAATACTAAAGCATTTGTAAGAAATTCTTTTCTTCAAGAGTCCTGGGGAGAAGAAGAGAGAAATATTACCTCTTTCCCATTTAGTCCTGGGATGTACTTTGAGGTAAGAGTAATTTTTGAAAATGGAACAGGAACAAGAATCTTAGCATAAGTGGTCCACTTAAGTCCTAATTTAATATATGAAGATTGTGTGTGGTGTTTCTGGTTTGTTTGTTTGCTTGGAGATTATAATTTGAATGCCCCCTTTTATAACATAGGCCATGGATATAAGTGGCAGAGCCAGTAGATCAGTCTGTTATTTGCATTGGAATGATCTACCATTTGTCATGTTGAAAATTACCATGCAAACCCCACATTGACTAATAGGAATTTAAACTAATAGGAACCTTTTCTCAGGACCGGAGTAACATGTTTGATCATAACAAACCTAAACCTGCTTGCCTGCACAGTCCATCCTCTTCCTTCATAGGAGTTTCAAGTGGCAGTCCTTTCTTCCAAAGAGGCATTCAAGGAAAAATACCTTAGTCTCTTGGAACGAAAATGTATGTAGTCCTGAGTTCCCACATATGTGACTATTTTAACACATGCTTGTCCCAGAAGATGTCTCGCGGGTGCTGAGCGGAAAAGTTTCCTTGAGGTGAGACGTGGACGCAGGTGGTTGCTAGGCTCACTAGCCCAGGCGACTTCCTGCCTCCCGTGGTCACTCAGGGTCACTGAGTTAGGACATACTTCTGCATCACTGTAACCTGTCACATCCTCTGGACTCCTTGGGTTCTCGAGCGTTCATCAAAACTAGTCGTTAAAAAGCATGAACATTAAGGATAGGCAGGAGATAGCAATTTGACATTTATGCTCACTCCTAAATTCCAGTCTAATGCAGTGTCCTGGCATGTAGCATATAGATAGGTGTGGGCTAGTCATGGAAGGCTCCCTAGAAGCTGTAGATATTGGTTTGGAATTCAGATGGGTGGGAGGGATGTGGAAGGCTAAAGATTTGGTTTTCCAGATTTACGGCATGATTTGAGCAAGTTGCTGGGGGCGGAAAGGGCAGCACAGAGTTGTTGATGTGGCAGGAGCTAGGGCCTAAGGGTGACCTGGGGTTCGCTGGAGGGAGGGGGCGAGTGCTCCAGAAGGAAGTTGATCTTTGTGCTTAGTGACAGGAAACTGATGGTGTAACTTGTTTTTGACCTATCTGAGCCTCAAGTTTGGATGTACTGTATTAAGATAAAAAAGGGCCGGGCTCGGTGGCTCAGCCTGTTATCCCAGCACTTTGGGAGGCCGAGACGAGTAGATTGCCTGAGCCCGTGGGTTCAAGACCAGCCCTGGCAACTTGGCGAGACCTTGTCTCTACAATAAAATAAAAAGTAGCCGGGCATGATAGCACACATCTGTAGTTCCAGCTACTCGGAAGGCTAGGCGGAAGGATTGCTGGAGCCCAGAAAGTTGACGCTGAGGTGCTGTGAGCATGCATGCTACTGCATTCCAGTCTGGGCAAAGGAGTGAGACTCCAACTCAAAAAAATAAAATAAAAAAGGACAGTAAATTCAAATGCCAGAAAATACTAAGATGAAAATTGAAGTGTCTTCAACTTCATTAATTCAGATAATACCACTGAGACTAGGTGAACCACATCACAGACATTTTTCTGTAGATGTGGAGTGAGAAGGATGGCAGACTGGACGAATGGAGGGGCAGATGTATCTTGCATGCTGTAAACAGTCACCTCTTCTTTTGTTAATTTTCTAGTTCAGGGACAGTAACTACCCTCATGTTGATCATTGTTAGTTTCCCATAATGACAGATACTTGCCAATTGCTCCAAACTCTTACCTTGTTCATATGCATTCATCAAGAGTGTCTCAAATCTTTCCATTATGCCCCAACTTTCATTTTATTATAATTTTTTTTGAGTTGGCATCTCATTTTGCTGTCCAGGCTGGACCACAGTGGCACAATCATGGCTCACTAGTCTCGACCTCCTGGACTCAACTGATCCTCCCATCTCACCCCCCCGAGTAGCTGGAACTACAGGCGCACACCATTATGCCTGGCTAGTTTATTGGGGTTTTTTCCGGTAGAGATGAGATCTTGCTATATTACCTAGGCTGGTCTTGAACTCCTGGGCTGTAGCAATTCTCCCACCTCAGCCTTCCAAAGTGTTGGGATTACTGGCATGAGCCACTGCACCTGGCCCACTTTCATTTTAAGTAGTATCTTGCTGTTTCAAATTTTTATTAGTTATATTTACAGTCTTTTAAAAAAAAATCATTCAGCATTGTAATTTCACCTGTGAGCACTTCTGTTTAATTAAATTCGTGTTCTTACCTGTTCTGTGACACCAGATGGTCCCGAGGGTTCTGTTACTCCGTGCTTTCTTCAAGGCTTGTCTTTGGCACATGATGTGCTGCCTTCTGTTCGTCTTGCTGTGTGTTCTCACCTGGGCACATTATCTCTTGTTCACTTGTTTGTGGTACACTGGCTCTGTGCTTGCTCTTTAGGTAAATGGACTCCCTCTGGCACCAGCTTTTCCTTCTGAGCTCTGTAACGTGAAGCTGTTTTTGCTTTCTTGGGATTTTGTTCAATGTGCAGCACCCGAGGTCCCTTCCATCTGGTTGGAGCTGGGACTCCCAGCATTCCTGTGGGGTTCTCAGGTTATAGATGTCTCCCTAGTGGTCTCTATAGCCGTAGATCCTTCATTTAGCCGGCTCTGTATCCGTGGAATTTCCTCTTCCTGATTTTCCTTGGCAGCCCTTCCCCTTGCTCCTATCAGAATAAAGACCCTCAATTTGCTTCTTTGCAGGTTCAGATTTCATGCCTTGGTCTGATCTTGGGCATCGGGCCAGGTTAGCAACAAGGTGGTGCCACACCTCTGCTTTCTTCTGAGACTGGCAAGTTGCACAGGGAGGGCACAATGCAGGTCCACCAGACTGGCCTTTCCGTGTGGGTGGCAGCCCAGCTAGTGTTGGAAGCATGATGCCAGAGGTGTGAAGTTTGGGTGTAAAGGTGATATAATACATAAAAGGATAGTAGGTTTTTTGTTTATTGTTTAAGTTTTAGGGAAAGACAACTCTGAAGGGCTGACACGAGTGATGAATCTGCATGGACCTGCTAGATGCTAATTACTCCTTGGAGTTTCGGAGAAAAAGACTGAGGCTGGGATGTGCCAAGCTGGGTGGCATCAGGATCACCGAGCAGCTGTGCAATCCCTAGCACCTGCCTTAAGCTTCTGAAACTTCATAATGAGTGTCTGATTTGTCCAAGATCCCAGAGTTGAGACAGAAAGGTCAGGATCCAAGTCGTTTAGTTTCCAACCTGCTAGTTTGAATCAGCATCTCATGTGTGAGGGTCATCTCCCCACTTTCCCAGGAGCGAGGGCAGGATAGGGCTGAGGCAGAGAGGTGTGTTGAAGAGAGGAGGGCCAGCAGGCCTTGGAGACGGTGCCAGTCTCCGAGCATGCTAGAAAACTTCTCTGAGTGGGCTGAGGCAGGTCCCGTTGGCAGGTTCACATCAGTTAGATCAGGGTCTTAGCACAGAAGAGGCGGGAACCCCAGCAGCTAGATAGAACTCTGCTCAGAGAGCACACCAGGTGGTTTACTCTTTGACACTTAGTGTGCAGCAAACAAAACATTTTAAACTGAAGAGAACCAGTAATAGTATGTTTTCTTTCCTTTCAGATGATAATTTATTGTGATGTTAAGGAATTCAAAGTTGCAGTAAATGGTGTCCACAGCCTGGAGTACAAACACAGATTTAAAGAGCTCAGCAATATTGACACGCTGGAAATTAATGGAGACATCCACTTACTAGAAGTAAGAAGCTGGTAACTGACATCACCACTACAAAAACCGAAATACAAAATGGCTTCTGTGATACTGGCTTGTCGAAACGCATCTCACTGTCACCAGTCCGTCTATTGTGAAAATGAGCTTGCACAACACTAGGGCCTACCGGGCTGTTCTCAGCCTTGCCATGCAGTATGGGTGTGTCTAGCCCTGAATGAGGAAGTCTGGGGTAACAGCATCTTATAGTCAGTAACACCACTTACTCTCCCCCATCTTGGCACCCTCTTTTAAAAATCACACTCAACAAGTATTTAGTAAGTACCTCCTATATAATACAGTAGGTAACATGTACTGAGCTCTTACTTTTTGTCAGCATTGTGCTAGAAGCTGGGGATATATACGTAGTTGGGCAAAAAGCCAGTATGTTCCCTGCTCTCTTGGGCTTAGACTCTTTATGCTCTAACACTGCAACATTTTTTATACAGGAATTGCATATATTCATTAGGGATCCTTTGTAGTTAAAGAATTATGCAGCCATTAAATCACCTAGACACTAACTTATAGAAGACACTACTCCTTCCCCGGTGCTCGCTTTCATAACCAGTGCCCTGTGTATCCCATAATTGAGAGGACTGATGACTTATCTGGCAATTTAATTTTCTTTAGCATAGTAAACATCTAGCTCTACTAACTGTGTTACCAAATAATTAACATGACATCTGAACACAGCACAGAAATCAAGGCAAAAAACCAAAGCAAACCAAAAACAAATGAACAAATGAACTTGGAGTGTCAAGTTTTGTGTATTTGAACTTAGGGTGAGCCAGAAGTCTATACAGACTCCTACAGAAAGTGTAAGGAAAAGGGAAGAGAGCAAGATGCATTTATAAGATATTTAAGAGTAACAAAGTAATGTTGATTAAACCTAAGAAATGCACATAACAGGCACTATCAGAAAATAACCTGCACCAACTGTGAGACCCATGAAGCAGGGGGCAAGGGAACGTACCTACCTTTGTTTGCATGCAAACCACCACTCGCCTCTGTCCTTCTAGAGATTAGACCATCAGTAGCATTTGAGATCAAAACATTGTTCTGCTTTAAGTGATTAAAATCAAACCTGTGTCAGCAAGTTAAATCGTCACATTTCTGTAATTTTTCTATTATTTGAAGGGAGTTGGCAGAAGTTCTGTGTGGAATCTTTACAGGCCAGATCTTGTTAAAGGAAATCTCAGCCGGGCTCTGTGGCTCAGCCTGTAATCCCGTGCTTTGGGAGGCTGAGGTGAGTGGATTGCCTGAGCCCGCGGGTTCGATACCCCCCCCCCCATGGCAACTTGGCGAGACCTCATCTCTACAATAAATCAAAAACTAGCCGGGCGTGGTAGCATGTCCCTGTCGTTCCAGCTACTTGGAAGGCTGAGGTGAAAGGATTGCCGGAGCCCAGCAGGTAGAGGCTGTGGTGACCGGGAGTGGCCACTGTACTCCAGTCTGGGTGACAGAGTGAGACTCCAACTCAAAAAAAAAAAAGAAAATCTCCAAGGTTTGGGAATAGGGAGGGAAAAAAATCTCAATCATTTTATCATATTAAGCTGCTGGGCAGAACTTTGCCAGAATTTAGGAGTATTTTGGTTAGATATCTCTATCCAGCTATGGAAAATAATACTATTATCAATCTTATCTTTAAAAAAGTAATCAACGCAGCAACTGCTAGCTCTTATTTTCCAGCTTTTCATGTTAATTTATTATGCAGTTCTGCCGGGTTCAAAAAGACACTGGGGGAGTAGGTACAGGAAAAGCTGTAGGAGGCAAGAAGGCTCTAGCATCCCCCAGCTGTTTTTCTTCATAAAGAACATCAGAGTCATGACTGAGCTGTTGGAGCCTGTGAGGCACTTAGGGAAAAAGTTCACATTGTTCCTGTAAGGCTTAAAAAGTTCATTTTCGTTTTTGTTTTAAGCAGCTATTATTAAGACTGATTCTTTAGTAAAATGCAAAATTTAAAAAAGTTTAAGGAGCTCGTAGTATTTATTAACGAATTTCTAATGAGACGGTTCTTAAACACTCATTTCTAGCAAGCTGTATTTCTAAACGGCAAGTTGCCCTTTTGCTTATCACAAATCTGCACCAAATTTCTATATTAAATTAGATCAAAGGCTTTCAAACTCAATGTGAACATTCTATGGGATAGTTTTATAGATGCCTTTTTAAAAGGCAGATTTGTTTATTTGAGTCCTCACTTTCCAGTTTCACTGTGATAATACTAGGGATTAGAACACTTCAAAGCATTGAAAAAAATCTGCATATATTTACTTTCTTTCTTATACAAGTAATTTTTAGCTAACCACCAATGGAACTGTAACTATTTTTAACCCTGAAGGGGCTCCCTCATGCCGCCTAGTGTGCCTGAGCCCTTTCTCTTTGTGTGATCAGTCAGCCATGAGTTGTTTTACAAGCAGCATATCGCCTCACCCCTTTCCCTTACAAAAAGATGAAAGGATGAAGGAGACCATCGTATTTCTGAGTAAAAGATGCATTCCAGAACTGCTTCCCTTTAGGGCACACACAAGACAATTCAGGCTGAAGGTCATCTACCCACACTGTGAAGTAAAAACCCAAAGGGCTTCAGAGTCAGAAGTGCTTCTGTGCTGAGTCACTGCTGTTTTCTTGAAGTAGAGAGAAAGCTCCAACATGGATGCCATGTACAGAAGACACTGCTCCACAGAAGAGCGAAGGCTGTACAGTCTCAATGAGATGCTGGTTTTCGGTGCTGAAATTAAATATGTCTAATAACATCAATCAGAAAGACTACAGTAAGCGTTTAAACAAACACAGCAGTCTGTGTAAAAACACTAGTATCATTTACTCTTTTTGTAACTGTAAACTGGCAGGAGAGGTTTGTCTTAGGACAAACCAGGTGAGAATTTTGTAAAGAAGTTATTAAGTATTTGTAAGTCCAGTAGGTATTAAGGCGCCAAAAACAACATGGCACCCAAAAATAAAAATACAACAACAACAACAAAAATCTGAACTCTGAGCAGAGAATGAAACACCACAAAAAATTTTAGAAGTAGCTCTGCAGTGGCTCTCCCAGGATAACTTCCAGTTGCTGAATAGTCTTTTGGCACTGATGCTCTACTTCTTCACATTCATCTAAAAAAAACATTAAACATCAGAGTCAGTTAATCCTATGGCCTCAGTTATCATTAGCCTGATTCTTAATGTCTCGCATTCTCGGGCAATCCTCCAGCCAAAAGAGTGACTGAAGACACAAGGAAGCAGATGTCTCTTCTCCACTGCTCCTCCTGCCGTGTTTCTTTCATACAAGCTTAGATTGGAAGCTGGGTAAGACAGAACAATGGTAGGTAAGCCAAAAGTCAAAATCCCTAGGATGCCACTCCTTCAGTCGCTCACAGCACCTCTCCGGGGGGTAAGAATCAAAGGGGAATGTGCATGTGTGTCTGAGATGGGCATAATATGAAAGCAGTGGCCCCCACTCTCTCTCGGTAATAACTTCCACTGTTCTTTCCTGGGCCTCGTGGCGTTACAAGGCCTTGAGAAAGTTATGTTCCGGAACTACGCAAACTGGCTGTTTAGACCACAGCTCTCTGTCACACCCACTAGCTTTGTGACCTTGACCCAGTAACGGAACCTTTCAGGCCTCTAGGCTCTTCCTTTGTACAACAGGGAGGGTTAACTGGAAGTTCTGGATGGATGCTGGTCACTGTTAAAAGCACACCCCATCACATCCTTAATGGCACTAGACATTTCGATACAACCACCCCACATCTGCGGACCAGAATACTCCATCATGTAAATGTATGAGGTTGGCTTCCTAATGTGCTCCCTCTACCCCAATCAAAACAGGAACTCGAACCTGCTGGTACTGGAGACCAGGAGCAGGGCAGGAGACTAGATCACTTGCTAATCACATTATATCCAAATCTATATTATCAATGGGCAAATTTTCACAGAATTTTACTGTAATGATTTCGCAATAGTTTAATAGTTTGGGAATTACCTTCCATCAATTCTGCTAAGAAAGGAATGGATTCTGGTAGCAAGACAATATAATTCTCCTTTAGTTTTTCAGCCAGTGCTAACACAGTAATCAAAGCAGCAAATCGAACCTGAAAGGGATAAGAGTAATGAGTAAAAAGTAGTTCTGTTGTATTTATTGTCTTTGATCTGTATTGATGAGACAAGCTGTAACTTTTTAAACTAAATAGCTCATGTGTTCATTTCATTATGCTCATTCTACTTTCACCTTAGAATACCAGTTTATTTAACCATTTAGGACCTGTTTGTAATATGGGCAAAGTGTTTATAAATCAGTGTTTTCCAAACTGGTCCAGCACTGCAGACCTTTAATGTGAATGTATCCTTATAATCCCTGCACTTGGTAGGGCAAGGCTAGGGGGTTGCCTGAGCCCGGGGTTCAAGACCAGCCTGGGCAACTTGGCAAGACCTCCTCTCTACAATAAATCAGATAATTAGCTGGGCGTGGTGGCTCGTGCCTGAAGTTCCAGCTACTTGGAAGGCTGAGGTGGAAGGATTGCCTGAGCAGGTCGAGGCTGTGGTGGCCATGAGCGTGCCACTGCACTCCAGCCTGGGCAACAGAGTAAGACTCCAACTCAAAAAATAATATAGTAATAATAAAATAAAACACCACATGCAAATTCAAGAGTGTCACCAAATTTAGCTGCAGTGGAGCTCGCCAGGCTGCCCCAGATGGTGTTGACCTAGCAATAAAGCATTTCCGGCTGTCTCTCGTGGGACTCCCCACCAGTCCCTGACTGGTCATCACTATAGCTGTGGGAGGGGTCAGGGCACCTGCAGAGGTTATGATTTCATCTCAGCATGGAATAAAATACACACCGTGTCACAACAGCCTCATTTTGGAGCTTTAGTAAAGTTTGGGTGTTTCTCACATGCCTTGTGAATGACACAGAATGAAAGCAGTTGTTACGTATTATTAGCAATTTGCTATGCAGCAGAAGCCCTGCTAGTCCTCTTTCTAGTTGTGGATATTTTTAATTAAAGAACATTTGGATACTACAAAGTGAGTTATTAGAAAACCATTTATAACTACCTGTATTCAATCAAAATTTCCTTGACACTGTGACATTAAAATATTATAAAATAACTTTGATGTTGAAATTTGTGTAAGAACCTATGGTTTAAAATTTGGGGGGTTCATCAAAATAGCCTCATTGTTCTCATATCCTAATAAATAATCTGAACAAATAAACCCTATAATAAAATTCTGCTTTGGTGTGTTACATCCAGTGGGGTTCTGATGTCACTACTTTGAGAAATGGTGACTCACTGCTAAAAGTTTGAAAATTCTGACACTCAGGTATGGAATTTGAACTTCCACTCAACCCATATCATTGTATTTCTACCGCCACCACTTATTCAATAAGATCATAAACCTAATACATACAAAGGAGAGAATATGCTGCTTTAAGGCAAAAAACTACTCTGGGGACAAACGACACATTTGTATCTGAAGCACAATATTTCAACGGCACAAGGAATTACTTCCAGTCTTTGTTATTGAAGATTTAAGTATGTAAAAAGTATTTTAGTACTTGTATCTAACACCCCATCGAGGTCAGTGGGGGAGTGGAACTGCTATCTACGACAGCCTGTAAGTTAAAATCAAAATTTTCTCAGGCTCAATTTTCTGACTAAGACTAACACTGAAGACCAGAACCTGTAGTACTAGATGAGAAGTAGCAATGCTTTTCCCTTCTGGCTTACCGGGACCTATATCCACTACCCCTTGCAGGCTGTTCAGGTGACACAGTGAAAATACACAGCTTCAGTGCTCATCACCCACAGTTCCTAACCTTAGGCGAGGAGTCTCTCGTCTTGAGTAGAATCTGGTAGTTCAGTGGTTTCCAGAGAGAGTCGTCTGCCATGGCCACTGAAAACTGTGCAATGCATGGGATCAGGTGCTTCGTCACCCGTTCCTGGAACTTCTCTTCTCCTCCAAGCCTGTTTTCCAGCTATGAAGAGGAAGATAAGACTTTCAGCAACAGGTCTCAGTTTTACTTGTTGGAAAAAATACCCCACGTAGAAATAATATTTTACTATCTGTGATATCAGCAGGCTCAAAATCTAGGTGGTATTTTTTTTTCTGTACGACCACAGCTAATTTTTTCATTTCTCATAGAAATGATGTCTCCCTATGTTGCCTAGGCTAGTCTCAAACTCCTGGGCTCAAAGCAATCCTTTCATCTCGGCCACATCTGGGCAAAAACTAGGTACTATTCCAATACACCTTCCAGAGCAAATGTAATAATGCCTTCTGGAATCAAAAGGAATCTCATAGCACTTAGCTTAGCATCCTACGTTTCTCTTTAGCAGAATGCCTTGGAGCTTTTCCCTCTAGAAGCAGCCATGCTCTAAAACATTCTCAACAAAGCCCAGTTTTTAAAAAATTAATACATTAACCACGAAACCTTATATCCTGTCTTTGAGAAATTAAAAAAAAAAAAAAAACCCAAACTCTACACCGGAGATAAATCACATGCATAAAATATTAATTTTCAAATATAAATTTCATTAAAAAGACAAAAAAAAAAAACCTTTTAAAAATTCTAGAAAGCAGTCATTTGAGTAAATATAAAACCTGCAAAGACCGAACAGTGATGGCTTCCTCAGTAGCAAAAGATGATTCTGTTTGGTTACCTGATCCACCAGCGGCATCATCAAGGTTTCTGCTCTCTCTTTACTTACAAAATGCTGGGTATCAAAAAGGAAGATTTTATATAAACAGTTCAAAATGAACTGCAACAGCAAGCAGCACTTTTCAGGGTCATTTTCAGAGTCAAAAAATGCTTCATCTGTAAATGAGAGGAGTTAAATGAAAAAACCCAAAACACCTGAATTTCACAATGTAATCTCTAAGTCTAAATCATTATTAACATTATAATCAAAGGATTATTTCTAAAACAGGCAATCATAATCAGGATGAAAGTAGAACAAATAAATGGATGGTCTCTTGAAAAGTGATTCCTTCTTTTAGAGTTAAGATTCTAATGCTCAGTTTGGCAAATTACAGCTGTCCAGGTGGGTTGCTTAGTAGTACTGGAGAATAAACCAATCTTAATTTTTACATTTTGAAGTTACTTCCAGTAACTGACAGTAATGCTCATTTACTTTATTCCTCCTCCCAAGTAAGTCAACCTGTTAAGAACATTTTTTTCAGTATCTGGTAAAGAAGTAAAAATTCACCCTCGTTAGTCTAGAACTCAAGAACCTTCAAAATCTTGTCTCTGAGCTTAGGTTGTATCTTATTGTGCCTTGTGTAAGGCACACAGAGCAAGGATGACAGCTGAACTGATGCAAACTACCAACCTGTTTTGGAGATGTTCATTTGGTTCAAGGTGTCAGCAAAAGGCTTCACTAAGTGGCCAGCAAATAGAGTAAAAAGCCCTTTGAGTTTTTCAGCAATGCAACTGGCCAAGTTATAAAATGTCAACAATCTGTCCTTTGGTGCATCTTCTGCCTTAGCCCAATCAAACAGCTGAAAGGATAGCACATTATTAGTTTCTAATACACATCCTGGTACTTATATCTGAGCATAAGAAAGATGCAGAGGAAGAAAGCCTCACCTTGAAGAAGAGCGGTCGGAATGTGACCTCAGAAAGCTTTACAACCATAGCTACTAGGCAGTCAATGATACAATTTTCTGTTTTTCCAATTTCCTCCAGATCATTCTGAAAACAAGAGCCGATCTATTAGCCAAAGTATTGATATCTGACTCTAAATTATTTTGGCAAGTGCAACCATACACAGCTAGACTGTTCTCTGGCTCATAAATAGGTAAATAAGAACTTTAGGATTTGGGGGAGTAGAAATAAGCTTACCTTAGAGTGCTGTGCTCGGAAGTCCAGGGCCTCCAAAAAAAATGTGGTTAGCTGAGACTGATGGGAGGCGAGCTCTTCCTTCTTCAGCACCCCGATGTGCTCTTGCAGGATACTCATAAATGGACTCATGTGATGCTACCAATAACACCATAAAGAAACGTGCCTTTTAAACATTATTCCTGGAGTTCAGCAATGCATTTTCAAAGAAATTACATAATCACATTCTTCCAAGTGAAAATTTAAAAATTTCAGTACCACCTCTCCCTTACCCAAAGTCTAATACCCAACATGATCGAACCTTCCAGTTCTTTTCAATCTGCTTGTAAGTTTTGTTGATGGCAGGCAGTAAGACTCGTGGTGCAAGTGTGGTAGCCAGTGTCTTTTTAAGAGACACGAGACGGACATTACCCTGTGAGGCAGAGCCCATCTCACTAGTGATTTTCTCCAGATGGATCACCTATTGGAATAAAGAGAACAGTGGGCAAGGCCATTATGGATCCTCACTGACAACCACATACTTACAGAAGGGCTCAGGGACAACACAAAGTCAACTCAAAGGCCAGTGTTTGGGAAACGCTTAGCACATCTTAGCTACACACAGAATTCCTTGTACAGCCAACCCCACACATCTGTAGATGAAACTGGGCAGACGTCTCATTCCCAACTGACAAGGGTGCAAGTAGACGGAGGATGCAGAAGTATCCCCAGGACCCGGACGGAGGATTCTGTTAGAGGACAGGAGTACAGGGACCACAAGAAGAGCCCTCAGAGCACAGGCCCCTTCCTGTGGGAAGGTGGCTGTTAAGCCCTGGCTGTGGAGGACATGAACCCATTGAGCCATCTGCCTAATGGTAGTTAATACTCCTCATCTCGTGAATGGCAATTGATCCCCACAACAGGACAGTGATAACCCGAGGAACGAGGGGCTCGATGTTCTTGAGCAGATTTAATCTGAATGCCACTCGCCCCAATTGTGTTGACAAGCAGTGTAGGAACTCTGCTTTGCAAGGGTGCCTTAGGATTGAGAAACCTTTCACAATGGAAACGAATGGGGTATACCAGTTTCCACAAGAAATAATAAAAGGCAGCACTACCAGCCCAATTGCAAAGAGCCAACAGGGGAAAAAAGCAGTAAAATACATTTTGCGCAATTAAAATAGAAGAGTTTCACTAAAAAGCGACCCCCATGTCAATTTCATGATTAAGCCTGAGGGACAGTGTAAAAGAGGCACACATTTGATAAAAATAAGAGCATCTTTTCAGAAATAAGAACGCTTTCTGTCAAACAGAAACGAACTAAAGGAAAATAAAATGTGTCACTGCTTATTTCCCCTGCAGCCCCATTTAGTATGTCGGGCCATGGCTCACCTGGGCCAGAACACCTTCTAGGTAGGGGCTGAGGAAGTGTGGGAGAGTCTCTACAACCTTCTGCAGGGCAGCCAAGGCACTGAGCAGGTAGACCTCACTGGAGACCAGGTCACTGGTGTTCTTCAGGGTTGTCAGCAATGACGGCATCAGGCTAGAAAACAAAGATCAAGAGCTTTAGAGGAATGTTAAACAAAGACAGACTGCAGGATAAAGAGGGGGGCATTATGAAAAACCCACACAAACCGTGCCTTAATTAGCCTCCACCTGGCTAATCTTTGACTTATTGTAGAGAAAAGATCTCATTATGTTGCCCGGGCTGGTCTAGCTGCTTTGTCTTGGCCTCCCAACGTGGTCGGATTACAGGCGTGAGCCACCATGCCCAGCCATCTTTCAACTATTAAATACTTGTTATGTGACAGGCACGTTGCAAAAAGCCTTGCAAGCATTGTCCCTATAGAAATCCTACCACATAGGTACTATCACCTGTAACCTACAGTTACAAGTGAAGTAACCTACAGGTAGCATAGTGGGTAACTGGAGCAGCCAAGGATGGAGGATGGAGCCAGGAACACCTACCCCTCCAGTGCGGCAGTGTAAGGCTGCTCTGGCCTTGCCCAACAGGGGTGATCCTGTCTATCAAGGAGCATTACCCATACCCGCTGCTTTGCAATTATAGCGAGACAAAGGGAAGGAAGACTTAGGACAATTAGCATCACAAAACTGCACCTGAAGATACATGGGCACATTATGTTCCAGTCTGAAGAGCAATTTGCTAACAAATCTAACTTTATGTAACTTCTCAGAAGCAAAAAAAAAAAAAAAAATGTCACTGAGGTATTATTCTCAAGTCTGTGACAGACTGTGATGTCTGCTCCAAATCTCCAGCAGCATACCTGGGAAGCTGGGGGATGGCCATTGCTTCCAGGGTGGAGGTCACTTCTGCTATGCAAAGTAGGGCACTTCCCAAGACATTCTTCTCTTCCTTTCGATCCGGAACAATCAATTTCACTGCAGTGTTCAACACTGGGACAAAAGACTCTGGATTTTCTGCACCAAAATTCTTGCACAAAAGCTTTAGGGTATACAGAGCTGTCTGTCTATTTATTGCTTGTTCTTCTCCCTCTTTTTTCTTACGCTGCACAATGGCCAAAAGGTCTGGAACCAGTTTTAGGAAACGGTGAACCTGAAGAGGACAGTCAGAATCCCCAAACAATTAAATCTGGAAAAAATGCGAGTCCATTTTTCCATGGTCACGGTTTGAGACTGTCCAAATGGAAATCAGACATCTGCTTTATTTACTGCTCGGCACACGCATGTTCCTGCTGACCAGTTTTTAATATATACAAAGCACCCTCCTGGTCTGAAGTAAAAGGGGGTTAGAATTTTGCTAAAACGAAGGCAATTATGATCCATATTAAGTAAGAATTCCCGTTAGGTTGAAAATTCCATTCTAAGAGCTCTTCCAACAAATATATACTCCCATTAGAATTAACATCACATTTTTAAGCGCGCACACACACAATGGCATTATATTTAGATACTAACAACGTGCTTCAATTTTATTTTATTTTTTTGAGTTGGAGTCTCACTCTGTCACCCAGACTGGAGTGCAGTGGCCGCCCCCGGCCACCGCAGCTTCAACCTGCTGGGTTCCAGCGATCCTTCCACCTCAGCCTTCCGAGTAGCCGGAATTACAAGCATGCGCTACTATGCCTGGCTGATTTTTTGATTTATTGTAGAGACGAGGTCTCGCCAAGTTGCCCGGGCGGGTCTCGAACCTACAGGCTCAGGCAATCCACTCACCTCAGCCTCCCAAAGGCGCGGGATTACAGGCTGAGCCACCAAGCGCCGGCTGTTGCTTTAATTTTAAATTGTGCCATTAGAGAAAATTAAGGGAGTTAAATGTAGCTCTTTGATAAATTAAGGACAGTGAACACTAACTGTTATCTGGTCTTCACTTACAATTTTCTTACTCCAGGATGCGTTCTGCTGGAGCTTGTTGTTCAACAGATCCAATGCTTTCCGGCGCACAGATGGCAGGGGATGGCCCACCAGCCCTCTAATCACAGGGATGAATGTTTCTGTGGGCAGCAAGGCATTGACCTATAAAGAAGTTTAACATTTAACATGAAAAGAAAAAGAAAAGCAGATCAGCTCCAGTTAAGATAGACTGCTGTCCACCGCACCCTTCTGGGCACCAAGCATCTTCATACACATTTTCTTATTTCTTATAATAACCTTTCACGTAGGTAGTACTAACTACACATTACTAAACAAAATAAAAAATGTTAGCAGTTTCAAGGATGGAGCTAAATAATTTAGCTAGATTTGAAGAGTGATCCTAGTTTCAAGGCCAGTGATATACATCTATTATATTTAATATTTTTATTTTATTCCACTTGAATAAAGTAGAACATTCTATATTACATGACTGAATATTTAAAACATTTAAGGCACAACTTCTTGTAAGTGATAGGGAAACAAAATTTTTCTGGACAAATTTATTTCATGAAGAGCTTCTTCTCCAAGAAAAATCTGAGCTTTATTATAAGATGTTGCTAAGTTTATTCTTAAAGTAAAACTTCAAGTAATTTCACAATGAACAACAACAACAACAAAAAAAACCCAGTAAGAAATCACAATAATTATGGGGAGAAATGAACCCTACCTTATCTAACATGTCGTAAGCTTTGCTAAGGAGTGCTCGCCAAAACTTCACAGTTAGTTTGTCTGCATTTTTTTCCACGGACTGTGCTACAGCATTAATATATCCGAGAACTGTTTCTAGCAACCTAAAACACAGAGACTCACTCAACAAACAGTCGCTGAAGGCACTTAAAGAATTCACTCGTATCTATCCCATGCTAAATGTTTCAAGTAGAAAGACCAATTACATAATTTTGTACAAAATTATTTCAAAAACTACGTGGAAAGAAAAGGAGGGATTGTCCAAGCCAGGTGAGGTGGGAACCAAAGGGAGGCCCAAACTTTACCTATACGATGACTACTTGTATACCTGAATCTGAATTGCACCCCACATCTTTAAAATTATTTTAAAAACAACAACAAAAAGAGGGATTGTCACCATAGAGAAATAACACTGGCCGGGCTTGGTGGCTCAGCTTGTAATCCCAGCACTTTGGGAGGCCGAGGTGAGTGGACTGCCTTAGCCCGCAGGTTTGAGACCAGTCCAGGTAACTTGGTGAGACCTTGTCTCTACGATGAAGAAAAAAAAATTAGCGGGGCATGGTAGCACGTGACTGTAGTTCTGGCTACTTGGAAGGCTGAGGATCGCTGGAGCCCAATAGGTCAACCCTGGGGTGGCCGTAAGTGTGCTACTGTACTCCAGCCTGGGAGATGGAGTGAGACTCTAACTCAAAAAAAAAAAAAAAAAAAAAAAAGAAAAGGAAAGAAAGATCACCAATAAGTAAACAGGTACCTCTTCGAGGATAGTCCTGACTAAGGCTTTGTTGGTGCTGAACATTACTAGGTGATGGAGAAGACTACAAACTTCAAATAACCTGTAATTAGAAAAGTACACAACAAAAATTCCAACACAACTATCACTGGAGCTCTCCAGACTGCTGCCAGCCTGAGGAGGGAACTTGAGGGGAGAGCAGAGACAGAATTCAACACTGCAGAGCAGAGGAGGGGAGTGAAGGGCATAGATAAAAATCATCCCTCAAGGTGAAAAATCTTACGCACAGCTTAAAGCCAGGCCCAGGAATGAGCTTGGCTGCTCAGAATACTAGCAGAGGGCAGGCATTATTATTATTATTTTTTGAGTTGGAGTCTTACTCTGTCACCCAGGCTGGAGTGCAGTGGTACACTCACAGCCACCCCAGCGTCGATTCGCTGGGCTCTGGCGATCCTTCCTCCTCAGCCTTCCAAGTTGCTGGAACTATAGGTGTGTGCTACCAACCCGGCTAATTTTTGACTGTAGAGACGAGGTTTCGCCAAGTTGCCTGGGCTGGTCTCAAACTCCCAGGCTCAGGCAATCCATTCACCTCGGCATCCCAAAGTGCTGGGATTATAGGGTGAGTCACTGAGTCCGGCCAGGGCAGGCACTTTCAAGTGGACAGGGCAGGCCTTGCTTCTGGGAAGGAGGTATACAGCCAGGCCATGGTAGTTAAGGGCAAGAATTTCTGTACCCAAATACATACAATCCACTGAATAAAGTAAGAATTCATGAGCCCATGCAGACTAAAAAGACACTAAACCGACATGCTAACTAAATATAACACACAATCCTGAAAGGATCGTGACCCAGAAAAGAAAAAGTGTGATATAAAGGACACTGTTGTGATAATTTGGGGGACTGGAACATGAACAGTAAATTATTGCATCAATTGTCACTTTTCTGAGTCTGTTAAATGTACTGTGGTTCTATAAGAATATTTCATTCTTAGAGGCATATGTAGTGTATACAACTTGCTTTTAAATGGTTCAGAGAAAAACATGTAAGTAGAAAATGTTTCTTTCATCCATCAAATTCATTTAAACATGAATTACGGTACAGCAAGAGACACTACAGCACAAAGTCGTTTACATCTAACTCTCGTGCCCCACCAGCCCCTTAAAAACAAACACCACACCATATGTTTTTAATAAATGGTAACTGCAGTTCCATTTTCAAGCTGTATTTTTAAGTTGAAGGTTTTCGGTAATTGGTTTTATATTACATTTTCTCCATATCTAGTTTTTGTTGTTGTTTTTCCATTTTTATTTGTATTAATTTTTTTATTTTAAATATGTGGGTTACAATTCAGGGTTATGTAAATAAATGTTCATTATACAGGTACCCTTGTTGTCTCCATATCTAGTTTAAAGACGTATGTCATTTCCTCATCACCAAGTATTGTTTTCCCCGAAATGTTTAAACCAAGCATCTGATAACCAGGTATCTTTGTTGTTGTCTCGGTCACTTTTATTTTGCTGAGGAATATGAAACTACTTTGAAGGTCAATCCAAGTTCAAGTCCACACCAGAGTTATAACAGTTGGGTATTTGTTCTTGCTTGCTTCATAGGAAGCATGATAAAGCAAATGTGGCAAAAAGTATTAACAACTGGCAAACCTAGTTGTAAAGGGTATTTAAGAGTTTTGTGTACTAGTCTTCTAGTTTTTCTAAGTTTGAAATAATTTCCTAACAAAAAGTAAAAAAAGAAAAGTAAACATACCTCTCTTCAAGGCCTTTTAAAACCTGAGGACCACCACTTTCAACTACCTAATTTTTAAAGAAGACATCATTAGGACAGTATGGAAATGGACAAAAATCATTTGAAGTTGGTTTCATGAAACACAGACTATTCACCCAAATCTCCCACACCAATTGTTTTCTGACATTATAATTTAATTAGGTTCAGATCATTCTCATTATACAAAAGTAACTCTTTTTCTCTTAATTTATTTTAATTACATTCTATTGGTAGTATCTGTAAAGTACTACAAAGATTCAGAAAAACATAGTAATCAACAACTCAGTTACCCACCACCTAATACTATGCAATGCGATCTTGTTAGTGCATACAGCATTTGTTAAGAAGTTAAACATTACAGATACAGTTGGAATCTCCATATACTACTCCCTGTCCTATCCTCCCACGATCCCAGGTCCCACAAAGACAACACCATCCTGAGTTTGCTATTAAATGTTTTCAAACAGTGCATATCATTGGACAACATGTTTTTCTGGTAACATGTATTTCTGAAATCTATGCATGGTGATTTACAATGTTCTAGTTCATTCATTTTAACTACATGTGATAGTCCTCTAAGATACAACTTATTTATCCATTTGCTTCTGTTTATGTCCACTTTTTGTCCCTTTTACCAATAATGTTAAAGAACAGTTTTATGTCTCTTGAGCATCTAGGCAAGTTTTTACTGAACCAGAACTTTAAACAAATTATTGTATCCTCTGGTCACAATAACATTCTTGATTTTCTTCGAAAAGTTTTAAGTGTTGCTCTCACACTGAAGCTTTTACTCTACCGAAACTGTCTTTTGTATCTGGTGTGAGATCAGACTCTTCTTCAGATGGAAAACAAATTGTGCCAGGGCCAATACTTGGCCACCTCTTTCCCCACTTCTTTGCAGAGCCACCTGCCATTGCCACCCTTCTTACCCACGCCTTAGTGTGTTTCTGGGCTTCCTGTTCAGTTACATAGATTCATCTAATTACCCTTCCACCACCTCTGTCCTCGGCCTCTTGCATTGCAGTACCAACTCGTATTACTTTTTAAAAAGATGTAATTGAAGAAGTGCATTCAACTTCTAGATTAACCTGGGAAGAACTGACGTCTTTAAACAGTGAGTCTTCCTCGGCAGGAACACAGTGCTTCTTTCCATTTCTCCCAGTCTTCCTGTGAATCCTTTAACGTCTTGGAAATTCGACCACAATATTCTCGCACATGCTTCTGTTAGGCTTATTCTCAGTACCTTATAAGTTTATGCTTTTATTGTATATGGAACCTTTTTTCTAGTCGATTTTCTAATTACACCGATAGTAATATATGATGGTGTATAAGACCATAATTAGTTCAGCCAGCTTGCTTGATGCAGATCACTACACTGATCTCTAGGCAGTGTCTACAGTGATTTCAATCAAGTAAGCTTGCTGAACTAATTATTCATTCTAACTATTTGTTGATTCTCCTTTTCCCTGATTCTCATACTTCAATTCTTTCTGAACAGAAACAATGACAGAAGGTATTCTTGCTCCTGACTCAGCAGCCATACCATTAATGTTTCATATGAGGTATGCTACAAACAAACTTCTGATAGATACCTTTAAAAGGCCAAAGTAAGCTGGGCTCGGTGGCTCAGCCTGTAATCCTGTGCCTTTGGGAGGCTGAGGTGAGTGGATTGCTTGAGCCCACAGGTTCGAGCGAGACCTCATCTCTGCAATATATCAAAAAATCAGCCGGGTGTGGTAGCGCATCTCTGTAATTCCGGCTACTTGCAAGGCTGAGGCGGAAGGATCTCCGGAGCCCAGCAGGTCGAGGCTGCGGTGGCCGGGAGCGGCCACTGCACTCCAGTCTGGGTGACAGAGTGAGACTCCAACTCAAAAAATAAAAAAATAAAAATAAAAGGCCAAAGTAATTTCTATCTATCCTTAATTGTTAAGAGGATTTTTTTCTTAATTCATGAATGAAAGTACTGAATCTACTGATTTCTCTAAAATTTACAGTAATCACGTCTTCTCCTCTTGATTCATGCATTATAGTGCTTTAATAGATGCTCTCATGTTAAACTATTTTTGTATTCCTGATCATGATATTCCTTTCTTTCTTTTCCTCTCATTGCTTCTGTTTTTCCCTCCTACTCTCTCATTGTTTAAACTGAAGTTTAATAAACAAACAGAAAAGCACACGCATCATATATGCAGAGCTCGCTATAGTCAGATAAAGAATGAACATATCAACACCCCAGAATCCCTCCCCTTCTCATCCCTCATTACTGCCTGTTCCCTCCTCCCCAAAGATAAGTAATGTCCTGACTTTTCAAACCAAAGATTTGTCTTGCTTGTTTTTGAACTTTATGTAACTGGAATGACAGTATGCATTATTTCGTCTCTGGATTCTTTCAATATTGTTTGAGAAATTCATCAGACAACGAATTTCTCAAATAATATTAACATGTTCATTTATGACTACTGCAATGTATCCACTCAGCTGACAAACACTTAAGTTGTTATCAGGTTTGCACTACCACAAATAATGCTATTATAAACATTCTTGCAGATTTTTTTTTGGTGCATATGTTCATACACTTCTGTTGGGTATATACCACTTAAAAATGAAACCACTGAGTCATAACATTTATATTATGTTCAACCTTAGTAGATCATGCCAAAAAGTTTCACAGTAAAGTGTACTATTTTTTTCAATTACTTTTAAAGGCATGCCTCAATTTTTCATGAGATGTTGTTACCAAACCATTTTTACTAGTTTAAAATACAGTTCCTTTAGAAAAAGCAGAATCATTTTTATCAAAAACACATTTAAAAAGCACATTACCTTTTTGAGAAAATTATTGGAAGCCAGAAGCTGAGACATGAATGACACCGACAAAAACTTAAAATGCCGCAGCTGTTTGCTGGTGTGAGTGCCTATATTAAAAATCTGCAGCATCTCTTCTTGTGACTCGCTTATATTAGATACTGTTTTGGGAATGGTTTCTGAAACACAGCAACAAAACAAGTAGCCTTACTCACTTTCAACCTGAATCCTAAACATAGATTCAGATCTAATTTTTTAAAGCACAAATGGTCAATGGCATATAATTTTCAGAGACAAATTTGTTAATCAATTATTACACCCAGTTTCTCCTCGTCTAAGTTAGTGAAAAATCTGATGTATTTAATATAAATAGGGTCAGCAGCAAGGTGGTTGGAGGTCCATGGGAGGTCACTTTTAAAAACCACTGTCCTAGAGAATGATGTGTTGTGAAGACTCTTCCTTAACTATGTCACCACATACAGTTCTCCAGGCACCACCCTACCTAGTCTGTACCTGCGAAACCTGAGCCAACTGCAGGATGACACAGGTATTCACCGTAGTTCTTTGTACCTTCTTTCTAATGTGTCCTGTTATTCTGCTTCAAAGAGTAGAGAACTCAAAACTTTCAACACATCAATCATTTCTTTTTTTAATTAAGAAAAAATTTTTAGAGACAAGGTTTCATGGCGTTTGCCCAAGCTGGGCTCAAGCGATTCTCCTGCCTCAGTCTCTTGATTAGCTGGGATCATAGGTACATGCCATCATGCCTGGCTTTATCAACCCGTTCTTACCACAGTCTCCATGGTGCTGTGATTAGGGGAATTTCTTCAAGACTCTGCTATAGGGTACAATTTAAATATTTTGTTACCACTGCTGTGGTACCTATTTTTTTTCTTTTATTGAAAATGTCTTCAGAGATTAAAATGGGAAACATAGAGACAGCTAATAATGTTCAGCTAACTTAACTGTCAGTTAACACAGTTTATCCTGGACACTGGCAACATTTCACAGCCAAGACATCAGCACAAGGCACAGAGGTATAAAGGATAATGTGTAAGGGATGGCCAGTAGAATTCCTACTGACTGTTCTGCATACGGTCAACAATATGCAATCATATACTCAAATTAAAAGTTACTCATTTGCTTTTTAAAAACTCCTCTAAGTATGGAATAAGGATAACCTGCATTCTCTTCTGCTTCTCTTAAGCTTTTAGATTAAACAATAAATAACCCCTTATTTATGTTTACCTTCTTTTTCCTCCGGCAGCTTTATTAAATACTGGAGGATATTCATCAAACTTTGTATCTGATGCTGGACACTAAATTCACAACAGACTGAAATCCAAAATTCAGTGTCTGCCTCTAAAATAGCATCCTATATAGAAAAAAGAGGAAAAGGTAACACACCTATACCCATCAAAAGTTAATTAATACATACAAGTAAGAGAACATATTTAAAAAATATTCATCAGCATGCAAAGTCATTACATATTGTTCCTTATGGTCACCATCAGATGACTGTGAGCTCCTTCTGTAAGAAAGCCCATCTCTTTAGAATTGTGAAGGCATAATTCCAGGACAACCTGCATTATGATTTCTAGCAGAACTGAATATACTACTTTACTTAGAGTAGGTCTAGATCTGTTCTCAGATCCCAAGTCTAAGAAGTCATTTAAGTAACTGTCCTGATCTATACAAATTGGGCTTTACCAAACAATAACCCATATCCGTATTCTCCTGATTCTGGGAACATGGATGCTCCTCCACTTCCCCACAAAAAGCCTTCAAAACTGCTTTCAAGAGACACTGTTTCATTACTTTACAGCTGTACTCTGTTGGGCGTGAAACAAAACCAACCATCATGGCACCATATCTGTTTCTTAGAATAGTCAAATTGCCCCCAGAAGACATTTTGCTGCAGCTGAAGATATTCAGAGTGCCACAGGTCCTGACAGCAATTTTGAAAATGCCAAAAATATTTTTGAGAAAGGTTCTGAGCAAGCAGTGTTAAACAACACACATTAAGTATCAGTAGCCCCATGCTCAGGCTGGACAATATCACAAAATCTGTGTGAAACATCACCATTTTCCTTATCACCCCACCCTACGTTCTGACCTTCTCTCCACTGGCAGCCACCAGCACTGTTTTTGTGACGTACTGTTCAAAAAGCAAAACGAGGAGAACCCAGAGGAACTTTTCTGCACCCAGTGTGTCAACAAGTTGAACAAGGATGGGCAGGCGCCTGTGCTCTGGAACGTGGGGCAGCGCGTCCACAAATACATTAATGATTTTTACTACGATTTCTTCAACGTTTCTTGTAATTTCCATAGAGTCTCCACTATCAGACTGCAGAAAAGCAAGCAAAAACAGTGAGCATTAAGTGGACTAGATAAGTTTTCAGATGGACCCACAAATATTATCAAAAGAATTTTAATAATCTAACCATAAATGTTCAATGAGTACCTGCCATGTCCCAGGTGATATTTAGCCCCGAGGAGAATACAAAGTGTAAGATGTAAACCCTACCCCAACGAGATTTGTAATTTGTATGAAACAAGATACACATGTGAAAAGATAATAGGAAGCAGTAACGGCAGATGCCAAATATGTTACACCAATGGCAAGTCTGCTTAGGCTGTCTGGGAAGTCTGCACAAATCACACAGGACTTGGGTTGTGTCTTGAGGAGAATGGGTATCATCTAGATAAGCAGAACAGAAAAGGCCAACAACTACCTCCTACTTTCAGATTAAGGTCTGACCTGTTTTACTTTGGTACTGGTAATCAAAATATCGTTTTGAGTGAATGATAGAGTAAACACACATTTGAAGGAATTAATAAGCCAGCACCTAACTGGTTCAACCCTCTGCTCTTCATCAAATCAGTCTATAAAATATTCTTTAAACACACTGTGTGCATTCCTAGGTCATGACTTTTCTCATGCCATTGGCTCTGCAATTTCACTGAGCACATCCTGTTCTTTCACACCAATTCAACTTTTATTTCTTATGAAACTTTCTGCTCACCCTGGCCCATATGGACTCTTCCCTGTTCTGAACACTTCAACATTTATTTATTCAACTGGCACCTATCATATTAATGCATACCGTCATTTTCTGTTTATATGTATACCCAGTACTTGCCAACTTGTTGGACACTGAGAACACCAATCTAACACCAAGACTGAAAGGAGAAGCTGCCAAATATAGTTATCTTTGGAATGGGTTATAGCATGAGAAATGACATTAGCTAACAAGTGGAAGTAAACAGAAAAGTCAAGCAAATAACCAAGTGCTTTCATCTTTGAGGAAACTTTTCCTACTTTCAGACTGTTCATTCCTATCTGGTAGAGATAACACCTTGCTTATCTCTCTCTCTCTCTGGGTACTTAGCTCTTAAAGAATGCTTGGTAAAAATTCGCTGCAATTACATGTTAACACATCTGCCACAGTAGTTCTAAAAGTTCTATCGTCAATCAACCTACAAGAGTATTATCAAACTGATGCGATGTCCTGAAATAGTAAGATATAAATTCACCCAGTTAGAACGACATTGAGACTTTTACAGCTACATCCTCATGCACAACAAAACCAGCTAATCATGTTTGTTCATATTCTTGGGAAATACATTTTTCCAAAACTGCTTCTTAGCTTCTCTGTTCTAAGATGGAAGAGGTATAAGTACCTAAGCATTTCAAAAAGGCTTTTAATGCCATTTATATGCAAAATTGTAAAAAAAAAATACTAATGATGGTATAAAAGATAGCTTACCTGAATGAGTGCTGGAATAACCATTTTCACAGTCTTATTAATAACTTGAAAACTGTAAGTATCATCTAGGCGCATGACATTGGCTCCCATAAATGTAAAAATAGACATAATATTGTGTAGCACTTTATCCTAAAAGAAGACACAGTAATCAACATTCTCTATTTCAAACACATCAAATGTCAATGATTCATTACAACTCACCAAAAGAGAAATAACTCAGTTTAAAAGTGGGAAAGGATCTGAAAAGACATTTCTCAAAAAAAAGAAAAAACCACATATGGTGAAAGTATATGAAATCATATGAAAAGCATACAAGCATATGAAAAAATGCTCAACATCATTAGTCTTTAGGTAATTAAAAAATCCAAATCACAAGATCCCACTTCACACCCACTAGAATGGCTATAATAAAAAGATAATCAGAAGTATTAGCAAGGATGTGAAGAAACCGGAATCCTCACAGACTGCTGGTGGAGCAAAATGGTACAGTCACTTTGGAAAATCATTTGGCAAGTTAATCAAAAAGTTAAATACAGAGTTACCATAAGACCCAGCAATTCCACTCTTTAGTATATATACCCCAGAGAAATGAAAACATGCCCACACAAAACCTTATATACGAATGTTCATAGCAGTTTAATTAATAATAGCCCCAAAGTAGAAACAACCTAAATGTTATCAACTGATTATCAGATAAACAAAATGTGGTATATACATATAATGGAATATTCAGCCATTAAAAAAAAAAATGGTTCAAGTTTCAACACGGATAACCTCAAAAACATTATGCTAAGTGAAAAAAGGCATACACAGATGGCCAAATTTACATAATTCCATTTACATGAAATACCCCAAATAGGCAAAGCAATAGAGATACAAAGTAGACTACTGGTGGCTAGAGGTAAGGTGGTGGTGGTGAGGGAGTGGGGGTAAGGAGGAATGAGCGCTAATAGATATGGGGTTTCTTATGGGGAAATGAAAATGTTAGTAAGTAGATCATGGGAGGATTATGCAACTTTAAGAATGCACTGTAAGCCGGGCTTGGTGGCTCAGCCTGTAATCCCGCGCCTTTGGGAGGCTGAAGTGAGTGAATTGCCTGAGCCCGTGGGTTAGAGACCTGCCTGGGCAACTTGGCAAGACCTCATCTCTACAATAAATAAAAAATTAGCTGGGCATTGTAGTGTGCGCCTGTAGTTCCAGCTACTTGGAAGGCTGAGGCGGAAGGATCGCTGGAGCCCAGCTGGTCGAGGCTGCGGTGTGGCTGGGAGTGGTCACTGCACTCCAGTCTGGGCAACAGAGTGAGACTCCAACTCAAAAAAAAAAAAAAAAGGAAAGGAAAACTATCAATGATACTTAATTGTTTCTAGATTATCAACCTTGTGAGAGCTATAAATTCTACTTTAAGAAAAAAAAATTCCATAAAACATAAAATCTTGCACATGATCTCAGTAGATTAAGACCATCTAGATCATGGAGAATCCCAGGTTGGGAACCTTTGACCTAAATCCTCCATATGAAAATGGTTTCAATCTCAGGTACTACTGTACCAATTATACCAAATTGATGGGTATCAATTTGGGTAAAATTTTTAAATGATTTATTTCATATAAGGGACATGATTCTATAAATGAGGTAGTTTGCAATCAATTAAATTTTTTTTTTCTTTGAGTTGGAGTCTTACTCTGTCACCCAGACTGGAGTACAGTGGCTACTCCGGGCCACTGCAGCCTCGACCTGCTGGGCTCCGGCGATCCTTCTGCCCCAGCCTTCCAGTAGCTAGAACTACAGGCGTGTGCTACCATGCCTGGCTAATTTTTTTGATTTATTGTAGAGATGAGGTCTCGCCAAGTTGCCCAGGCAGGTCTTGAACCCGCGGGCTCAGGCAATCCACTCACCTCAGCCTCCCCAAGCATGGGATTACAGGCTGAGCCACCAAGCCTGGCTCAATTAATTTTTTTAAGTCACTGGTTACAAGCTGTTTAGAGGACTATTTGAGCATTAATGGGATATTAAACTTTTCCAAATAACACCAATACTCTTACTGGACAGTTACATTGTGACAGGTACTGTGTTATGTGCTAACCACAAATTATCCAACCGAATTCTCACAACAATCCTATGAAGGTTACCATTATTTCTACTGTACAGAAATGGGAACTAAAGCTTAGCAAGACCAACTGGCTCACAATGTCCCTGCTATTAAGGAGCAGGGCTAAAAGTCCCATCAATGCTGGGAGCTTCCAAAGCCCAGTGAATTTAAGCATTTCCACAGAGAAAAATATCTGCTAAAGTCTTAAATCATTAACACCTACCGGAAATATTCCAGCAACAGTACCCAAAAGTAAAAGGGCATGATGATGGGTTTGAGGCATCTCTGAAAGGCGAATACACTGAACTATCAATTCCACATTGAACTTCTCCTCATCCAGAACATCTACAGTGGTGAGAAAGGAAACAAACCTAAGTGGCAGGTACATTCACATTCAACGGAGACCATCTTTCTACTCTTTCCTTCCAACAGGTACATACCTTTGGATATTTTGCCACCATCTGGAGAGAGTTTTTGACAGATGCTGAGCAGACAACTAAGAATTAATTGCTTGGTGTATTCCATATTTCCCTGCTCTGATGGCGAAGGTTCTAAAGATCTTCAGGATACCCAGAAAAGAAATGATGAGAAGTGTAAAAGTTGTATGATTCATTGTTGCATTAATGACCATTGTCCAGAACTCATATTAAATAAGGAATAACTAAAATACTATCATTAAATATAAAGTCTATAACAAGATATAAGATTTCTAATTCTAATTTTTTTCTCCTATAGACAGGTGCTCATGTCACATTGCCTCTCCTCTTTACTGTACTTTCTATTAACCTATTTGGAATCTTAGAGAACAACCCTGAGAATAGTTGTCTTTTCACTTGAAAGCACACTCCACATTCAGTGGCATACTCTACAGCTGTTTATCTAATAATTTATATGTAAAAAATATAGCAGGGGCCACACTACACCTTTAAATACAAGTAATGATAACCTGGGAATGACACTGAAAGTTCAGAAAGAAAGTAGACTGCACAGTGAGTGGTCATTTACTACAAAGTACATGACAAAGGTTAGTTTGGGGTACTGGCAATGAGTACCTAAAACCATTCTTTTAATCTTGCAACTAAAGTACTTGCTTTATTTTACAGACTATCTAAACAAGAGAAGAGTATGTTGAAAAAAGAATGTTAAATAAAGTAAGATGGGCAAGAATTAGAATCATATTCTCTCAAAGATCAAAGCCAAGTGCCATTACCTTGACAGCAGGTTAAAAAGAGTTGGCATCAGTAGCTGAGGACTTTTGAGTTTCTTTTTGTGTTGCAGTAATTCTAGGATGAGGGTTACTCTTTGCCAGTAGGAACCTCCAACTTCCTGAACAGATTCTAGATCTTGTGATTTTCTGGAAAATGGAGAAGACAAAAAGTTGGAAGAGCAAACACTATCCTTGCTAAGTAAAAACTACTGTACTCAATTAAGCCAAATTGATGGGTATCAAAAAAACTCAATGTTTTATAATATTCAGAGCCAGGGGAACAACAGCACGTTTTCAATGCATTTGTAGTTCTTACTTCTCCTGCATCTTTTGTCTTCTTGTTTGCTGAATTGTGCCCAAAGATTTAGCTTTATCTGGTGGCTCCAGTTCTATTCTGACTTGCTCAGCATTAATGGAAATCTGAAATGTTGAAGGAAGAATGACTGATGGCATAATTCATCAAGGTAAAATTAGAGAAATAAACATTGATTAAAAGAGAAACAATGAAAGTATTTATGTCCACTCTGATGTCCCACACCAATCTATAGCCTAGCCCAATCCCCAGAAGCAAACACCACTGGTAATTTCTTATGTATCCTTTTGAAAAATTTCCATATACCAACAGCTGCATAAAGACTCTTTTAAAAACATAAATAAGAGCATACTGTACAACTGCTCTGTACCTTGATTTGTTAGTATAGCTTGGAAATCTAGCCATATTAGTACATTCTTATTTCATCATATGGTATTTGTTGTTACAAACTACAAGAAAATGTTTCATATAAAAGCATAATAGAGTATATTTTGGTAATCAAAATAATTTTTATAGTGCAAAGTATAGCTGCCTGACACTTAGGGCCAATCTTATCTCTAGCTGATATGGCATGTCTAGCAAACATCTCATATGCCCTATAGTCAGTTCACTGTCTACTGAGATGGAAGTCAGAGGAATCTGGATTGTAACATTTTCCTTTTAATAATCCTTTAAATGCTTTAAGAAGCTGTCTTCTGGTCTGAATCTTAGCTCAATTCAACTAGCACTTAATTAGCATTATACTCAAAGACTGCTACCTATGTATGTGTTATCTTTGTGATTCCGATTTCATCCTGTATTTCTTCAAAAATGCTAACATTAAACCCAGTCATTATCCCATAAGAGTGGTTTACTCAACTAAGAGGAAAGAACAAATTTCTAGATATGCATCTGCGTCTTCCCATCATCTGATGCTCCTGCCTTATCAGTGACCTCTTAAAAAACCAGAACGAGAAGCAAGGTAAACCGGGAAAGATGTCAGCCAAAACCAGTCTAGCACAGGCAGCATCAAGTCGACTCGGACTTCCATTTTAACTGAAAAGGGAAATTTTGCCAGGCACTGCTTTCGATGTGGTTTGTCTTGGGTCTCAAGTTATAGCCCTGGGCTTGCCGTGATATGGTATAATTTCTCCAGCCCACAGTCATTCAATTCCATGTTCATCCCTCAGAGTAGAAAACTAGTAACTCAATAAAGAATCAGTCACACCAATTCGTTCCAAGTGCTAAACCAGATATTTGCACTCTCAGAAATTACTTGGATATGGGGTAGGATCCAAAAATCATTTTCTCCAAAGGTTCTAACATCACAACTAAGTATTTGGATTCTGATTCAAAGAAAACTATAAAAAGTACTTTTGAGACAACCATGGAAATATGATTATGAACTGGGTATTTGATGAATTATTGTTAATTTTTTTTAAGTGGGCTAATGCATTGTAGTCATATAAGGAAACGTCCATTTTTAAAAATATGCATACTTGGCTGGGCACAGTGGAACAAGCCTGTCATCCCAGCACTTTGGGAGGTTGAGGCAAGAGGACTGACTAGCCCCGGGGTTCGAGACCAGCCTAGGCAACTTGGTGAGACCTCGTCTCTACAATAAATCAAAATATTAGCCGGGTAGTGCGTGCCTGTTGTTCTAGCTACTTGGAAGGCTGAGGCGGAAGAAACGCCTGAGCCCAGCAGGTCGACACTGAGTGGCTGTGAGTGGGCCATTGTCACTCCAGCCTGGGAGACAGAGGGAGACTCTGCCTCAAAAATAAATAAATAAATAAATAAATGAAAAATAAATAAAATATGCACACTAAAGCATCTAGGAATAAAAAGCACATGTTTTGAGATTTACTTTTAAATACTTCAGCAAAGAAAAAGAAAAAAAATTACATCAAAATCCCAAAAACTGCTGAATCTGGACTTCACTATATTATTCTATATTTTTGCGAAAGTGTTTTCCTAAAAAACACCACCATCATCACAACAAAAGTTTCAATATACATATAAAACTAAAAAAGCAGACTCTCCATTCTATCACTAAACAACTGTTTAAGCAGAATCATTTCTCACCCAGTTCATTATAAAGCCACTCATTCATTCCTATCCCTTGCATAAAAACAGGTAGAGGTCACCTAATACAAGCAAGATCCAAACAATATACACACATGCACACACATCCCACCGGTTAAAACTATAAATTCTATATGTCTCTCTATAACCTACTTTTCTATGATGCTCATTAATGTAACACATGACCTCTTAGAAGCACTATAAAATGCAGGACACTTAAACCTCATGTTCCTTGGAAGACACTAAACATTAATAAACAAAACAAAGGAAGTCTGCAACTTACCCCTTTAAAGATGCTGCTAACAGTCTGAGCACAACGTGAGTTTTTACAGTTTACTAATAAATCAAACAACATGTGTAAAAGCTTCTGCTGAACGTTTTCACCTGATACAGCTGCAAAAAATGGTTTTGTAATCTAGAAGGTGCAGAAAAAAGACAACTGAATTAAATGAACAAGCTTTAACTCCAAAAATAATTTTTGTATCATTCTCTCACTATGAAATTGCTTCCTATTATATTTTGTCAATTAAAGAGCAATTTTTTTTAATGACCCATGTACAACAGTTTTGTAAAATGGGTCAAATATATCTTTTTTTTCTTTTGAGTTGGAGTCTCACTCCGTCGCCCACGCTGGAGTGCAGTGGCACTCTCACGACCATCGCAGCCTCGACCTTCTGTGCTCAGGTCATCCTTCTGCCTCAGTCTTCCAAGTAGCTGGAACTACAGGCATGAGCTACACTCAGCTAATTTTTTGATTTATTGTAGAGAAGAGGTTTCACCAAGTTGCCCAGACTGGTCTCGAACCCCTGGGCTCAGACACTCCTCTTGCCTCTGCCTCCCAAAGTGCTGGGATTACAGGCAAGAGCCACTGTAACCGGCCTCTCATTTCTTTAAACATGCCCAGTCTACCAATAACTGTATCTTCCAAAGAAAATATTATAGATTTTTAAATGTTTGAATAGGCTCTAGCTTCTGAAAGAAGTCACTAACCTTTTCAAGGGCTGTGATTTGAATGGTTGGCATTCCTGCGTAAAGTTCCTTTGTTGTGTGCACAGCTTTTATAAATATATCTAGACTTTTTGGGTTCTTATGTAAAAGGGAAGCCGAATATTCATTATATTTTCCCAGAGTAAAATGTAAAACAATGGCTTCATCTTTCAGGACAGCTGTGGGTTCCTTCTGGACCTTTTCTAGTAGTTGTTCAATCATAGGCAACAGCTGACAAAGCACCATCTAAAGATTGGAAAACTTATTAGTAAATAGTTATCTATACTAATATGTTTTTGCTCATTCTACAAAGACATCCAAAAATACACTTTTGGAAGATTAAGGAAAAGCCTGGGGGGAACAATAGTGATGACTTTTTTGACACAGAGACAGCTATTAATCCATATTAAGGCACTCAGGTACTCTCTGACAGTTCATGCACTATGCTCAAAAGTGCTAAACCCTTCAGAGATGAGCAGGAATAATTTGTGAACATCCCTCAAGACTTTTTGAGAACAGAAAACACAAACTAAAATTTTAGAGTATAAATATAAAATGTACAATTCCTTAAAACACTGTGTATTTCCCTCAAACAATGTTTCTAACTTGGCATAATTAGTATTAATATAAATTTTGTATGTGAAGTCTCTAATAACTAAACCAGGGACCATTATGGCTTGCAGGCCAAATTCAGAGAACCACCTGTTTTTATTGAAATACAAGCATGCTCTTTTGTTTACACACTGTTTATGGCTGCTTTGCTGATAAAACAGCAGAGATGAGTAGTTGCGACAGAGACTGCATGACCCATAGAGAGAAAAATATGTATTATCTGGTCCTTTATACAAGAAGCTTGTCAACTCCTAATTTAAATTATACCAAGGACAACTTACAGCTAATAAGTGAGATCTATCTGTTCCTACCAGGAAAATATAATCAAATGGTCTTCATTTCTTTTACTCATTTTAGTTCCCTGAGTGTGCAGTCAGTCTAAGACCGATAAAGCACCCTGGCATTACAGGAACACCAGAATGAAGAAAATTTTTCTCTGCTGATCAGCACATACCATCACATAAACAAGTGTTTCATAACCACTCTCTTTTGTACCACAAACCTCCTTGAGAATATAATGAAAGCAACGAGAACGAGAACAAACATATATTTAACAGACAGGCAAACAATTTTGGCATTTTCACAGACTTTTATATCTAAATACCTATATTCCCTTGTGGAAGATTTTCAATGGAAAAACAGACACAAACCAACAGTACTTTCAGCAGTGCAGCCCCACGAGACTTTTAGAGCCAATTAAAACCAAGTTAATGATTGCACAGGGACAACACAGTTTTAACCTTTTGCACTCAGATGGTCCCTCTGAGGGGACATTGTAAATCTAGCAACCCACTTGGATGTCCCCTCAGGAAGTACAGAGAGACTGCTGGTGATTATACAGAATAAACTTATGCCAGTGCAAATTTTTCAAAAATATATGTTTCCTTGAAGCTTTCTGTTCACATTGCATGGAAAAACAAAGAGATGGAATATATACTGAGAGATGTTCGATCAGTCGAAAAGTGGTTTTCAGGAATCACAAGCACATTCTTCTACAACTTCTTCAAACAACAGACTGGACAATAAATTACATATCATTAATGTGAGATGAAGACAATGAGACTGCATTGTCTGCTCAAATAGAAAAACAGCAGGGGAAAGATGTCAAACAAACCAATACAACACAACATGTATCAATGAACCTGCAATGCATGTTGGTGACTGTTTTACACGTTACCACATGCTAGAAAAATGTAAGAAATAAAATTTTGATTTTTTTGGTCATAAATAAGTTCCTCAGTGTCCAAAATTCCATTATAAGGCAAATATCATTACAGTAAAATAACTGGTTCCCATGCTATATTATTTAATATGAAGTGATTCATTTTTCACTATTAAAAAAGTGCAGCTAGCCAGGTTTGGTGGCTCAGCCTGTAATCTCGCACCCTGGGAGGCTGAGCTGAGTGGATTGTCTGAGGCTGCGGGTTCGAGACCCGCCTGGGCAACTTGGCGAGATCTCATCTCTACAATAAATCAAAAAATCAGCCAGGTGTGGTAGCGCATGCCTGTAATTCCGGTTACCCGGAAGGCTGAGGCGGAAGGATCGCCGGAGCCCAGCAGGTCGAGGCTGCGGTGGCCGGGAGCGGCCACTGCACTCCAGTGTGGGCGACAGAGCGAGACTCCAACTCAAAAAAAGAAATAAAAAAAGTGCAGCTGAGTTGCTGGTAGGCAATCCACAAGATGTCTCCAAGTGCAAAGGGTTAATTAAAATGAGAAGAAACTCATCAATACGTGTTTCTATATCCTCTTTTTCTGCAAATTTCTTCCTCATATATGAGCAGTTACAGCAATTCTGTAGTAACATCATATGGAACGTACAATCTCCTTAAATTATACATACCTCACTGTTGACTTCCTGAAGTACTTTCATCAAATCTTTTGCAATATAAGATGGGCATCTATATACACAATTAAGTAGGTTTTTCAAAGTTTCAGATAACTTCTGATGAGATTTCAGTTTCTTTTCTCTCTGTAGTTCCTCAAATAAAGTAGCCAAATCCTAAGACACCAAAAAGAAAATTGGAGGAGAAAGGACTAAGGAACTACAAAGATTAAGATTCTCTCCCAAATGATGTGACATTATTTATCATTTTCCATTTTCCCCTAAAATCTTCATAAGACAGAATATCAATACCTCACAGTCAACTTATTATGAAAAGCCAAAACTGGTTGTTTATCCAATGAAAAGATAACAGAATTGAAATATGGTACTGCTATCTTTTCAAAACGAGCAGAGAGGCCAGGCATAACAGCTCATGCCTTTAATCCCAACACTTTGGGAGGCTGAGGCAGGAGGATTGCTTGAGCCCAGGAGTTTGAGACCAAGCAAGACCTCATCTCTATAAAACAAAACAAAACAAAACAAAAGATTACCTGTAGTCCCAACTACTTGGGAGGCTGAGGCAAAAGGATCACCTGAGCCCAGGAAGTCAGGGCTACAGTGAGCCATGATCATGCTACTGTATTCAAGCCTGTGTGATAAGGTGAGACCCTGACTCAAAAAAAAAAAATTAAAAATCGTAAAAAATAAAAATAGAGGGAGAAAGATATACATGATATTGACATGTCAGTTGCTAATTCAATGACTTAGTCCATCAAAATCCCTACAGAGTAAAACGTCACGGACGGAGAAAATTGTTCATGTGTACATATAGGCATTGGTACACTCAATCTTCTCTGCTAATGACTTTACCTGAACAACATAGTTGGCATCTGAGGTGATCTCCTCTGCTTTAGGAACCAAATGATCTATTACCAGATGAAATGGGGATGCCAGGCCACTGAGGGCCTGGAGACACTGAATGGAAGCCCTGCGGACTTCTTTTATGGGGCTTCCCAGATTAACGAGTAAAGATGTCACCACTAAAATCAAAGGGCAAAAACAATTTAAGTAACAAGTTTTAAAACTGAAACAGTATAAAATTTACACAGTACAAAATTTACATAATACCAAACTTAAAAGGATGATTTAATTTAGATATGTATGTACTTATATGGAGTATGTACTTATATGGAAACTTAAAAGTTTCCTTTGCAGCTCAAAACACTTTCCAAAGATAGTCACCATTTAACTGTGTACTATTTCAGAAAAAATGTTAGGCCTATGAAATCTGGTATATACTTTAGAAAATACACAAGTAAGAGCATAGTACATGCCCTGTTCTGCACCAACTACTATCACATCTCAATGTATTTTGGACGTACTCTCCATATAAGTACATACATATCTAAATTAAATCATCCTTTTTAACTATTAAGTATTCTATTTTTCATATTTTTAAAACCAGTGCCTTACTGGTGAAGTTTAGGTTTCAATTCTTTTGTTATCAAAACAATGCTGCAGCAAACACCCCTGTACATACATCCTTGTACAAGTGTGCGCAGGAAATTATCCATTTGTGCGCTGTGCTATGCAAATATTTTGTCCCAGATTGATGTGCTTTGACTTGACTTTTTTTTTTTTTTTTAAAGTCAGAGTCTCACTCTGTTGCCCAGGCTGGAGTGTAGCAAATAGCATGCTCACAGCCACCATAGCCTCAACTTTCCGAACTCAGGCGATCCTTCTGCCTCAGCCTTCCAAGTAGCTGGAACTGTAGGCGTGTGCTACCGCACCCAGCTTATTTTTTGATTTATCAGAGATGAGGTCTCACCAAGTTGCCCAGGCTAGTCTTGAACCCCTGAGCTCAGACAATCCTCTCACCTTGGCCTCCCAAAGTGCTGGGACTACAGGCTTGACTCATGGTGCCAGACCTGACTTTACTTTTTGATGGAGAAATTTTACAAAAGTTTCTTCCAGTTTTCTCTGTTACGTAGAAAGGCCCTCCTACTCTATGTGAATTTAGAAAGTATCTCTACAGTTAGAGAGATTATATGTATTCCATATATTTTCTAATACCGGAGCTGAGTTTCTTTATGTTAAATCTTTAGTATCATAAAAATTTTATATAAAGAATGAGGCTGAAATCAAACTTTCTAATGTCTCCAAATGGTTAGTCAGATGTCCCATTTAACAATCCACATAAGCATCTCACAGATCTTGGATTTCAGCTTTATTATATTCACACATTCTATAAGTATTTGAAACCTGTCTATTTATGACAGCTAGTACTTTTGGAACCATGTTCGAAGATAGTGATGAATTTAACAGAAATGCTTTTGTTTTCCTAATTATGAAGAATGCTACTTTCGAGGAATATTTTTATCATGTTACTTCTATTTTATTCTCAATCAGAAATAATTACTGACTTTTCAGACCTTTGGAGACGACTATATGGGCTTTCTCCTTCAACACGGATATGAGCCAGGTTGTGGTGGCTCATGTCTATAATCTCAGCAATTTGGAAGGTTGAAGTGGGAGGACTGTTTGAGCTCAGGAGTTCAAGATCAGCCTGAGGCAACATAGCAAAACCTCATCTATACAAAAAAGCAAAAAATTAGCTGGGCGTGGTGGCACAAACCTGTAGTCCCAGATACTCAGGATGCTGAGACGGAAGAATTGCCTGAGCCTAGGAAGTCGAGGTTGCTGTGAGCTGTGATCATTGTGATCAAGCCACTGCGATCCAGCCTGGGAAACAGAGACCCCGATTCAAAAAAACAAACACCCTGATATGGCTGATTACAGTTCCTTAAACTGAACCAATTTTGTAGTCTCAGCGTGGACTTTATCTGGGCAAATGATTATTTTTGTAAATATGCAGATGAATCTTATTTGCAAATATTTTATTTAGAATTTTTCCATATTATTATTCAAAGCAACATGGTCTATAGTTTTGTCTGTCTGCAAGCTTTGTCAATTTTCAATGTTATGCTGGTTTTAGACAAAGAATCTGGATGCGACTCTTTTCTTTCTATGTCCTGCCCGTTCAACAACACTGAAAAAAAACCTGCCTCAAAGATCTAGCAAGAAAGCATCTGTGAGACCAACTGCAGTGGGGTTTTTAAAAAGATGTCTGTGGGACAAAGAGGTATCCACATTCCTCTTATGCTAATATCCATTACACATATCCCAGTTCTGAAATACTAAGAATGAGCTTGACGAGCTTTCAAACCTGTCTGAGGAGCTGATACAGGTTGAACATTCCTGGCCCAAAAATCTAAAAGCCAAAACTTTTTGAGTGCAGACATGATACAAGTGGAAAATCCCATGCCTGACCCACGTGATGGGGTGCAGTCAAAAGGCAGGCATACAACACAGTTTGTTCGGAGTCTCCAAGGGGAAAAAAAGACCCCCCTACCCACCTCAGCTGTGATATATCTTTTCCATGCACACCCTCAAAAGGTAATAAAATGGTTCAGTGTATACAAATTTTGTTTCATGCACAAAACTATTTAATTACCCTCAGGCTGGAGTATATATGAAACACAAATGAATTTCATTATTTTCCTGGGTCCCATCCCTAAGATGTTACTGCATTATGTACTTGCAAATATCATAAAATCCAAAACAATCTGAAATCCCAAGCACTTCTACTCCCAAGCATTTTGGATAAGGGTCACTCAACCTCTACCAGCCCATGACAGCTAGAAATCCTTTCTGGTCCTCGTAAGGTTAATTTATAAAACAAAGTCAGAAACAAATAGCCAGAAAGAATTCACATGAGGGACAGTTTCACGACCAAAACATTCATTTGATAACATTCCCTGTATAGTGGAGCAGAGATCCTAAAAAAAAAAAATCCCAATTCAAAGCACTAGCTATTAATGTTACCGTTTTCAAGTAAGCTACATTATTTAAGTAATCAACTTTTAGAAACATCATTTCATTTAAAAATCCATGTGACTTCATTCTCCTAACCAATCTTATTTATATTTAAAATATATTTTTACACAAAAATAAAAATTTTAAGTTTATTTTTTTTTTTTTGAGTTGGAGTCTCACTCTGTCGTCCAGACTGGAGTGCAGTGGCTGCTCCCGGCCACCACAGCCTCGCCTGCTGGGCTCCGGCGATCCTTCGCCTCAGCCTTCCGAGTAGCCGGAATTACAGGCATGCGCTACCACGCCCGGCTGATTCTTTTGATTTATTGTAGAGATAAGATCTCGCTGCCCAGGCGGGTCTCGAACCCGTGGGCTCAGGCAATCCACTCACCTCAGCCTCCCAAAGGCGCGGGATTACAGGCTGAGCCACCGAGCCCGGCTTTAAGTTTGTTTTTAAACATGCAAATACACTTAACTATATTGATTAGGTGTAACAAATAAATGAAGGGCGGCCCCCATCTGATAAATGATGGGTAGACAAATTTTATTTATTTATTTAACAAAGACTTGCTATATGTAAGAACTTTTAGACTACACCCATGTAGAAGGTAATAAATGGCAATTAGATTCCCAAGCCACTGACAAAAACTTAATTCATATGTTATATGATCATAATGCTGTATTATATAACTATAATAATTGTAATATATTAGTAAAATATTATAATATTGTGGGTTGGGCTCAGTGGCTCAGCCTGTAATTCTAGCATTTTGGGAGGCCAAGGCGAATGGACTGCCTAAGTCGGCAGGTTCGAGACCAACCCGGGCAACTTGGTAAGACCTCGTCTCTACAATAAATCAAAAATCAGCTGGACGTGGTAGTGCACGCCTGCAGTTCTGGCTACTTGGAAGGCTGAGGCGGAAGCATCACCAGCGGCCAGCAGGTCGATGCTGCAGTGGCCGTGAGTGTGCCACTGCACTCCAGCCTGGGTGACAAAGTGAGCCTCAAAAAAAATTGTGGCAACTTTTACTTTTGAACACAAAACATATTAATATAGTTAATCACAACACGATATATTTATGCACATTTAAATTGATTACACTATCATATCATGTTTTACTTTTAAATGTCACAACATCTTTACAAATATACTAAAACAGATACCAGCCAACAATTCCTAGACTCCTCACAGACAAGGTATGGCTAGAAGCTCACTGCAGACTTCTACATAAGGCCCTCTGCGATTCTAGTGTTTGGTCTTTGAGCTTCCAAGTGGAAGAAAGTGCAGCTCTCCTGTGATCACAAGTACTATGCAGAAGTACTTGAGGGAGAGGGGAGGAGATGGATGATACAGCAGAGGTCGGCAGGGAGCTGTCTGGCAGCGGAAAAGTTCAGTTCTTTGGTCTTGCTATGTAAAGTAAAAGTGACATGTTACTCAGGGGTCACCATCTGACGTCAAGGAGAGCAGACATGTAATACCAAATTTGCACACTGAAAAAGTTCTCTCTAAATAAGACACATATACCTTTTAGAAACCCACAGGCTTAGCATTCAATAACTATTTTAAAACACTGTTATCTCCATACATGGAACACTTTGAGGAAATCTTCAAAAAGACAAAATTCAATTGGGTACAGTGGCTTACACTTATGATCCCAGCACTTTGGGAGGCTGAGGAAGGACTGCTTGAGCCTAAGTTCAAGGCCAGCTTAGGCAATGTAGCAAGACCTCATCTCTCTAAAAATCCGTAAGACAGCCAGGTGTGGTGGATCATGACTGTAGTCCCAGCTACTGGGGAGGCTGAGGTGGGAGGACTGGCTGAGCCTCCTAGGAAGTCAAGCCCGCAAAGAGTCAAGATTGCACCACTGCACTCCAGCCTGGGCGACAGAGTGATATCCCGATCCCCTTTCCCCCTCAAAAAGGATAAACTTCTACATTTATTAATATGGAGAGACGTCCATAACATATGAATGGAAAAATTAAAGCCAAAAAATGTATAGGGAATTCTCCTTATGCCCTCTTAAAAACTACAAAAAACTTCCTAACAGTAAGCTCCCTTAAAATGAAGACAGACTAAGCAACATAGTAAAACCTCATTTCTATAAAAAATTTAAAAAATTGTGTGGTGGTATGTGCCTGTAGTCCCAGCCACTCAGAAGGCTGAGGCAGAAGATCACCTGAGCACAGGAGCTCCAGGCTGCAGTGAGCCTTGATTTTGCAACTGTACTCCAGACTCCATCTCAAAAAATAAGTAAAAAACATAAATTAAATAAGCTGGGCTCGGTGACTCAGTCTGTAATCCCGTGCTTTGGGAGGCTGAGATGAGTGGATTGCCTAAGCCCGCGGGTTCGAGACCCGGCTGGGCAACTTGGTGAGACCTCATCTCTACAATAAATCAAAAATTAACTGGGCGTGGTAGCGCGCGCCTGTAGTTCCAGCTACTTGGAAGGCTGAGGCAGAAGGATCGCCGGTGCCCAGATCGAGGCTGCGGTGGCTGGGAGCAGCCACTGCACTCCAGTCTGGGCGACAGAGTGAGACTCCAACTCAAAAAAAATAAAAATAAAAAAATAAATTAAATAAAGACTGAAATTTTGTAATAAAGTAGAGAATTACTTTTATGAGATTTTATTTTGCAAATAAAACTTGGAATTATACATCTCCCTTACCTTACATGCAACAAAATATGGGTTACAAATATAATTATGTGGTCTTTCAAGGAACTAGTGAAATAAAAACATTGAGAAATTTTTCTGGGAAAAGTATTTGATCATTTACTTTGCTTTCACAGAACATTTACAAAGTAATTTTGGAATACTAGAAAATAAAAAATAAAAAAAACAAAAACAAATCAAGAACATCCTCAAATTTCCCAAGGGCCTCTCTTATTCTTCTGGTATCAAAAATTATTCATTCCCATTTGAAACATGAATCATATACATAATTCTCATCTATTTTTTTCATCTTCAACCACTTATTCTGATCTAATTCTATCAGATCCTCTCATTTGTCAATAGCTGTGTAAGTCACTTTTCAATATCACATTCATCCATCTCATGAAATTCTGCATCTTTTGCAAAATTTGCAATTCCACTTTTCTTTTTCTTCCTGACTCAGGGTCTCACTCTGTTCCTCAGGCAGAGTGCCGTGGCATGATCACAATGATGATGGCTCATGGAAGATGCAACCTCCTAGGTTCAGGTGATCCTTCCCAAGTAGCCTCCCAAGTAGCTGGGACTATAGGCATGCGCCATCACACCTGGCTAATTTTTTTTTATTTTTTATTTTTGTAGAGAGGAGGTTTTGCTATGTTGTCTAGGCTGGTCTTGAACTCCTAGGCTCAAGCAACCTGCCTGCCTCGACCTCCCAAAGTGCTGGGATTATGGGTGTGAGTCTGTGATTCTGGCCTGCAATTCTACTTTATAAAAAACCAAAAAATTTTTGGATGTCTCATTAGAAAATACTGGACTTGAAAATTACTTACACCTGATAAAAGAGGCAAATCCAAGAGGGTGTTTTCTAAATAAGTCAGTCAATTACTAAATTATATTATAATGATTTGGCTTCCATATGTTGGAGCTCAGAAAATAAACAGCTAGATCTTAAGAACTCAGGTATAATCACCTGCTATTTCTGTTATAAAACTTTTGTATTTGGTGAGACTTTTCAAGTGCAATTAATAACTTAAAAGCAACACTTAGAAATCATCAGACGTGGGCAACCCCCTAGGGTCCCCTCCCACTTTGGGAACTTTTCTGTCCTCTTAATAAATTCTGCTTAAAAAAAAAATCAGACATACATATGTATATACACATATATTTAGCTATTTTTTTTAAGTTGGAATTTTCCAAACTACATAAACCACACTTACAAAAAGCATGAACAGTTGGTCAAGACAGAATGTAACAAAGCTACTTTCAATACCTGGAGAAGACATGGATGCCAGCTGGTGTTTACACTGTGTCTTTTGAGAAGAGAGCATTGCATAGCCCACATAAAGAGCTTGAGTCTGCAGCACTGCTTTCACACTGTAGCTAAGTGGATTTGAAAGACTAGAACCATAAGTCCATAAAACAGAAAAGAACTTGAATAACTGAAAAATATCTTCTAGATGTACCTAATTTAAAAAAAAGATAGTGAAGTTAATTCTCATTCAAATAAATTGGTTCTAAATCATTTCACTAGTGTACAATTATTTTTTTGAAAAGTCATGTAATGCAATGTTTTGTGTTGTCTAATCCCTTAAAATTACTCTGTACTTCATATTTTAACCAATCAGGAAGGAGGTCAATGAAGAGTAATATTCAGAAGCCTCGCTATACATTCTATACTTGAAAATACTGAAAACCCAAACAAGACTGTGTCTGGGAAGCCACAGAGAAAGTGCTTCAAAGAAGCAATGAGCAATGCCAGCTGTGCCAAATGCTGTGGAGAGAGCAAGTCAGACAAAAATAAGAACTGACCCCTGGGCCTGGCAACATGGATCCAGGTCACTAGTGCTGGGGATAAAATTTCTTGAGTGACTGTATGTGCTGAATAACCTCTCTAAACATCAGTTTTCTCATTTGTAGATGGTATTAACCGACCATAAAGACTGGGTTCTTGTGATTCTTAAATATAATGATGGGCCTAACCTAAAAGTAGGAGTGTAGCAATGTCAGTCTCTTCAACCTATTGACTAGTGTCATGATTATAGTACTGCTTTACAGAGCCTGTGTTTATTATCACACACTCTTCACTATTTAAAAGTCTGCTTTCATTTTCATCATTAACAGTCATAACTAAAATAACCTACAATACTTTCTTAAAGGAAGAGCACACATGGAAGGGATAAGCCCCGTACCTTTATGAAAAGTTTCAACAGAACTCTGAAATGAACAGCATCGGCACCACCGAGTATCATCTCAAAAAGCCCAATAAGCAAGTGCAGATAGTCTCTGCTGTCTTCTTTCAGTTGTTCAGGATTCCACCATATATCACCTATGTGAACATGGAAAGAGAAGCGAGGCCTAAACCTACATGAACATGCTGGGAGCTTTTCATTCAAGACAAAGAATAATCGTGCAGTCAACAGTGTAGTTTTGAGAGTATCACATTTAAAAGATTCACAATGTGTGCCTTACCTTTAGGAAAAGATGTAGGAGCCTTCAGTGCATAAATAAAATTTTTCAGGGAAAAGACAAGTAAAACCGAGTCCTCCACAGCAATCCTCTGGGCACTATTGAGCTGCTCTATGTAATGTGCCCACAGCTCTACTGGTATCCCTCTGTCTAACATCAGCTCAATGTGCCACTCTGAGGGAATTTCCTGAAATGTTAAAGGAAATAAAAACCAGTATAAGCTTAAAGGTGTTCTCAACATGGGTTAAGTGGGTGAACCACAACAGATGTAAGAATTTATTTGGATTATATGTAAAATTTTGTTCATATGTGCATTTTGGTAGAGAAAGGATTAATGGCTCTTACCAGATTTTTAAAGAGGTCTAACCATCACTATTCACAAGAAAAGACAAAGATAAGTTCAATATGGCCTCTTTTATCTGTTTTACCTTAAAACACTATCTCTAAAACCAAACTTTATTCATATGAACTCTGCTGGTCAAATAAAGGGCAGGAATAAATAGGCATGTTTCAAAACCAAAAGATAAGGAGTTTGATTTCCAAGAGATCTTTAAAGAGGCTTTTCTCATTTCAGTTTTACTACCAATCTAAGAAGGTACATGGTGAAAGTCTCCAAACTTGCAGAACAATTTTAAACAAGTAGCAAAGTGTCAAAACATTGAGAAACTATACTGCAAATGCCAAGAGTGCAGAACAAGCGTAGGAAGCTGACAAATGAGACTCTATACAGTCAAGACAGAGTAATAAGGAAAATATGACAAAGCCAGACTTATAGGACAATGTCTTTCTTCAGTGAGGGATCTAACTGACTCAGTTTGCTGCCATAGCTGAAGACATGCCTTAAGAACCTTAAGAAAGTTATTAAAAGTAAAGCAATATAAAACAAACTATTATCTATTAATACATTAAAAACACTCAATGGATCCATACTTTTAACCCCAAGAAAAAGTACAGTTCAGGTTAGAAAAGGTACTAAGAAAGTCAGAAGAGGGCCCATCTGGGTCTTCGAGTTTTAAAACATGAAGATTTACTCTATTAAAGTTGATAAACTATAAGGCTGGGCAGAGTGGCTCATGCCTGTAGCCCCAGCACTTTAGGAGGCGAAGGAGGGAGAATCCATTGAGTCTGGGTAGCATAGTGAGACCTCGAATCTACAAAAAATAAAAAAAATTAGCCGAACATGGTGGCGAATGCCTATAGTCCCAGCAACTGGGGAGGCTGAGGCAGAATGATGTCTGTGCCCAGGAGGTTGAGGCTACGGTAAGCCATTATTGTGTCACTGTACTCCAGCCTGGGTGACAAAGTAAAACTCCAACTCAAATTTAAAAAAAAAAAATTAAAAAAAAAGTTTACAGCCGGGCTCAGTGGCTCAGCCTATAATCCCAGTACTTTGGGAGGCCAAGGTAAGTGGATTGCCTGAGCCCACGGTTCGAGACCAGCCCGGGCAACTCGGTGAGACCTCGTCTCTACAATAAATAAAAAATTAGCTAGGCATGGCGGCGTGCACCTATAGTTCTGACTACTTGGAAGAATTGCCAGAGCCCAGCAGGTCGATGCTGAGGTGGCCGTGAATGTGCCACTACACTCCAGCCTGGGCGACAGAGTGAGACATAACCTCAAAAAAAAATAAAAAAGTTTACAAACTATAGCTAACAGTGGTTATGATCAGAACCTACAAAATTCTTCCATTGACATGTAAATGTGAAAAAGATGTCATTCATTTAGCAAATCTTATAATTAGGAGCGCTCTGAAGTTTGGAGGACAAATATAAATAAAATTCTATTATATATTATATATGGCAAATACTAAAAAAAATAACCTTAGCACCTCAAGATGTGGTACTAAGTAAAGATATCTACAGCTAAAACATGCTCCATAGAAATACTGTCAAATATAGTAGTAGCAGGCCAGATACACAAATCTAATTTATTTGATTTCATTTTTAGTTTTTTGAGTCAGAGTCTCACTCTGTCACCCAGGCTGGAGTGCAATGGCACAGTCATGGCTCACTGTAGCCTCGACCCAGGGCTCAGGCAATCCTTCCATCTTAGACTCCTGAGTAGTTGGAACTACAGGTATGTGCCACCACTCCCAACTACATTTTTTATTTTTATAGAGATCAGCTCTCACTATGTTACCCAGGCTGGTCTTCAATTCCTGGGCTCAAGTACTTTCCCCGCCTCAGTCTCCCAAAGTGCTGGGATTTCAGGCATCAGCCACCATGCGCAGTCACAAAACTAATTCAATATTAAAATTTAAAAAGCAGGCTGCGTTCTATGGCTCAGCCTGTAATCCCAGCACTTTGGGAGGCTGAGGAGAGTGGATTGCCTAAGCCCGCGGGTTCGAGACTAGTCTGGGCAACTTGGCGAGACCTCTCTCTACAATAAATAAAAAATTAGCCGGGCGTGGAGGTACACGCTTGTGGATCCAGCTACTTGGAAGGCTGAGGCAGAAGGATCGCCTAAGCCCAGCAGGTCAAGGCTGCAATGGCCATGAGTGTGCCACTGCACTCCAGTCTGGGCAACAGAGTGAGACTCTGACTCAAAAATAAATAAATAAATAAAAATAAAAAGCCTCTGTTTTAAATAAACAAAAGAGTAAAACAGTATTTTGTTCAAGCACTAATATGCCAAGTAAATATTCATCACTAAAAGTAGTTAAGTGCAGGTTGGAGAATTACCCGATAAAGATAATAAAGGGGAAAGCCTGCCATCAGATACAAAACACTGCCACCTTGAAACCCTGTAATTCAAATTAAATGTTCTGCAAAAGTGAGAGTACCTAATTCACTACCCTACTGCTACCCAAAGACTGCTTCACATCTCATCCAGTTAGTATTCACAGACTCAACATCTAAGCCTGATTTTCAGTTTTGCTGTGATTAACAGGTCAGGTTGTTACTTTATTCAACATCCAACTTTCTGGATACTTGGCACTACTTACCACTGCTGTAATGATAGTTTCGAGCTTCTTTATCTTTTTCTGCAACAAACTAAAGACTCTCATGGCAAATGGAAAGTGAGTTTCTTTTAAAGATGAACAGCAAGAGACAAGCACAGACATGATCACGTGAAATGTCACTTTCTGTTTCAGGTTAATGGACTCCTTTTCACCAACGGTTATTAAATCCTCCACCTTGAAAAGAAACAGAAACTCCATTACTAATAGCTTTGGTTTTCATAAGACAATTTTTTTTACTCAGGCCTTTCTAAGTATTATGTGTTTTAGATTTAAAATGAGATGACAAATATAAAGCCTTCAAAGAGTAGCTATTCCTAAGTAATTATAAACATATTTTCAGGTCGGGCTCGGTGGCTCAGCCTGTAATCCAGCACTTTGGGAGGCCAAGGCGAGTAGACTGCCTGAGCCCACGGGTTTGCGACCAGCCTGGGCAACTTGGCGAGACCTTATCCCTACAATAAATCAAAACACGCGCCTATAGTTCTGGCTTCTTGGAAGGCTGAGGTGGAAGGATCGTCAGAGTCCAGCAGGTCAATGCTGGGGTGGCTGTGAGTGTGCCACTGCACTCCAGCCTGGGCGACAGAGTGAGACTCCTACTTGAAAAAAAGAAAATTTCAGAAATTATAATGCACTTGTCAACTGGTTAATGCATCTAAATCACATATCTCAAATACCTAGTACCTTTACAAGGGTTTATTTGCTGAAGCAAAAATAATTTTCACCTGTTTTAGATTATATTTTGCCATTTTAACAAAAAAGCAAGAACTTAATATTTTAAATGGAAATGAGAGGGAAAAAAAATGGAGATGAAAAAGGATGTATTATTCTTAGGCCCAATGTTGAGCCACACTGAAAAAAGTAATACAAAATATAAGGGATTTCAAACATTCTGCAGAATATACTAAATAAGTACACATTTTTAAAGCAGAACAAAGTATTTGAGAATGAAAAAATAAAAATTAAAAAAAAAAAAGAATCTAGTAAAACAAAAGCTGAGAATTGAGTAAGAGCATGAGAAGGAAACGCGGGGGTGGACTCTGACAGCACAGTTACCATTTTTAACATTGAAGAAGGTTCTCCCGAATTTATATTGTCAGCCAACAACTGAATCATCTTCTGATTTGCTACACCAATGAGTTCTCCTGACTTTGTGCCTTTAATCACATTTTCAAGAACTGTAATGACAAACGAATACAGAGAGCCAAAATCACCAATATTCACACAAAGAATCATGTAAAGAAGTTAGGCAAAAATTTTACTACTGCTCTGTGAAAGTTTGCTTTTTATTTTTCCTTTCATCCAGCTCTGAATCTGTCTGTCTGTGTCAGCTTCCTTTTCATTTAATACTTTTTATCTTAGCAAAAATAAAATAAAAAATCTTGCTGGCGCAAGAAAAACAGTAAATTTTTAATTGTAATTATCTTCTTTTTAAAGTGTTTACTTTTCCTAAAAAGAAACTGAATTTCTTACCTTCTTCCCAGCCTCTTAATAGAGGGTGCTGAGAGCAAATTCCTGATTTTGATAAATATATAGCAATTTTCATCTCAGCAGATTCCATATCGTTGTTGCTGATAATCATAAACGGCAGCAAATGTACAACCACCTGATTTAACAAGTGATCATTTTCACTCAGTAGCTCTTCTTTAACTAATACATCTGCTGCTATCTCAAGAACCTTGTACCTAAAAGACATATAAGTACCTTTGGTTGAGGACATTAGAGGTTTTAATTCAGCAAAAATTTATTGTTTCAGCTTAAATGACACTGTCCTGGTCTCCTGACCAAAACTATTATTCAGAGTTACTAAGATATTACTTAAAATTCATGCCATAAAGGAGTTACCTGTGACAGTACTTGTAATCTGCTCATCCTGTCAAATCGTCTCTAAAACATATATTTTTAGAGAAATCACTAGACGTTAACTATAATATGAAACATGTCACACAAGATTTCTCAACTCTACTGATAATGAGGGCATTCGAAAAAATTAACTGGGCAACCCCTTTGGGTCCCTCCCACTGTGGGAGCTTTTCTGTCCTATCAATAAATCCTGTCTTCCAAAAAAAAAAAAAAAAAAAGAACTGAGCATATCCTATGTAATATCGGCCCATATGATATATACAAAAACATGCAAAACACACCCTCATCCTCTAAGGAGCTCAGTTACTTTTTCTTGCAAAACAGAGTTGGCACCAAAAGCGAAATAATCAGAGCTCATAACATACTTACTACACAAAGTATCATGTGCCCCTGAACTTATTTTTTAATTTGTTCAGCATATTGGCATTTGCCTTTAATTACAAAGTAAAAGTTACATAAAGTTATGTAAAGTAGAAAATTAGAAAATCTTTCTCACCCTACTTCCCAGAATTCAGTATCATACATTATATACTACCTTTTGCATTTTATTAAGAAAAATTCCAAACACAGAGAAGATAATGAACACACACAAATTCAAATTCTTTAGTTTTATAACATGAGAGAGTATTTATTACATTAAGATCTGTTCCATTGTTATGAACAAATGGTCATATAACCAAATTATAAGATGCCAAATAGATTTCAAAAAAAGAAAAGAAAGAAAATCAATATGAACTTGACACAAAAACTTCATCAATTCAAAATAATATGAGAAGAAATGAATATATACCATTCTCTATTTTTGGAAAGTTCTGCTCTTCGAAAGAGATTCACAAACTTTGAAACAGTCTCTTCTGAACTAAAGTGTTGCTTGAAAATCTAAGGGGAAAAAAAAAAATCCATGAGTAGATTTTCGCTTGCCTCAAATATTTATGGTACTTTTCAAATGTAAATGTTAAAAATAATGAATTAGAAGGAATTTCTCCCAAGAATCCTAGCAGAACTTTTACAAGTTTTATGAGACAAATGTCTTAAAAGTGGCATTCATGAGGCAATTTTCCATGGTCCCAGGGTATTTGTTAGTGATAAAAGCATATTAAAAGCAATATAAAAATTCACAAATCACTTTCCCTTTTGGAAGAATTTCCGTATATATCAAATTGTGTAGCCTAATTACTCCTATGAGGTTCTTCTAACCAGACTTCTTAAGTCTGAGCTCTCAAAGAGAACAAATTGCCAATGAGAAAATAATTTGCAAGTATATTCTAGCCTCAAGCAGAGAACCACCTCAAAAGGCAAGAAGTCACACCCAAGCAAAATGGCGATCTCAGCACGCACGGAAGGTCCTCACCTCAAAAGCACGGAGAGCCGACAGAACGACGTCTATGTTGTCATCACCCAATCTGGCTAAAACAGCTTCTTTTATGAAAGACTCATCAATGCCCTCCTGAACGGTAGAAAGAAAAACGAAGTAGCTGTGGTTAAAAAACTCTTTATGTAAGAAAGGAAGCATAATTTTGTGAAAAACATTCCAGAACACCAGTTAAAAAACACAGGCTGTGGTCTGAAAGTGAATTCAAGCACTCTAGAACTAGATAATCTCTAAAGAGGCTCTTCAGATTAATAATTTTTGTGTACAAACCTTTTCACGTTTCCACTGAAAATAAAAAGTTCATCTTGTTAAAATGATAACTCAGACATTTTGAGTGCATAGACTAAAGAACAAGAATGTCCAGGTTTAAATTCAAGCTCTACCACTTATTTATTAGCTGTGTGACCTCAGGCAAGTTACTTAACCTTTCTGAGTCTCAGTATTCTCATCTGTAAAATAGGTCTGCTAATGATATTTATCTCAAAGGGTTGTTGTAGGATTGAAAATATATGTTAGCCATTTTACATATAAGTACTGTGCTTTATACAGAAGTACCATTAAAAGCTAGCTACTATTATTACCCAAATTTTTATAAGGATAAGGACATGTACTACAAAGCTAGTCTGCCAAAAATAAAGATCCCGTTTTTTTTGAAGCAATAAATGAAACAAAAGAAAACCAAGTAGCTGGGCTCAGTGGCTCAGCCTGTAATCCTGTGCCTTTGGGAGGCCAAGGTGAGTGAATTGCCTGAGCCCGCGAGTTCAAGACCTGCATGGGCAACTTTGCGAGCCCTCATCTCTACAATAAATCAAAAATCAGCCGGGCGTGGTAGCGCGTGCCTGTAATTCCAGCTACTCGGAAGGCTGAGGCGGAAGGATCGCCGGAGCCCAGCAGGTCGAGGCTATGGTGGCCGGGAGCGGCTACCGCAATCCAGTCTGGGCGACAGAGTGAGTCTCCAATTCAAAAAAAAAAAAGAAGAAGAAAACCAAGTATCCTACCTTGTGGAAGGAAAAAAACCAACTAAATAATCTTATTAAAAATACAGGTCACTTTCTTGGGAGAAAATGAAAACTCCCAGATTTCACAAAAATTAAGTTAGCTAGGCATAGTGGTACATGCCTATAATCCCAGCTACTCAGGAAGCTGAGGTGGGATAATTGCTTGGGCCCAGGAGTTTGAGGCCAGCCTGGGCAACATAGCAAGACCCTGTCTAAAAACAAACAAAAAAACCCCCCAAAAAACTAGGTCCAAATTTATGTATCAAATGCCACCAAAATTTCCTTAAGAACTAACCAGTAGCCACACATCTGAATTTGAAATTCAGAATAAAACCTATGTCCTGTCACTGATGGAGAAGAGAAAATGAAATCTGACATGCAGAGAAAGACATTAACTGCAATTACAATACACAAGCCTTTAAGCTGAATGTATACAGTGCCCTTCATTGAAAAACTAGCAAGCCTGAGCCGGCTACTTGGAAGGCTGAGGCGGAAGGATCACCTGAGCGTAGCAGATCAACCCTGGGTTGGCCGTGAGTGTGTCACTGCACTCCAGACTGGGTGACAGAATGAGACTCCAACTCAAGGAAAAAAAAAAAAAGAAAGAAAAACTAGCCAATATAACAACGAATGATCTGTGACAGAAATAAAGAACCAAGTATCCCATGTTCTCACTAATAAGCAAAGCTTGAACAACTATTGCAATACTACCAGGGACTGGGATTCCCACTCTTACTACAAGAGTGGGAAACTGCCAGGGGAGGGTGGGGGCGGGATTGGCAGTGGTGGGAAACCGCTGGGGAGCAGGTGGCACACCTCATCAACCAGGATGCCTGCATGGTGAACATTTGTAAACCTAACTCTGAATTGTAACCCATATATTTAAAATTAAAAATTTTAAAAAAAGAAAAAGAAAGACTAGCCAAATCCCGAGAATAGGGAGAAAGGCATTAAGAGTAAAAGAAGGAAGGCTGAGAATACTTCAGAAATAAGATTTGAGATTCCTTTTATTCTAGACACTGAAATCTCCCTATTACCACAAAGACCATGAGTTTAATATTTTAATAAATTAGGAAGGTAAACCTAAGATGGTTTGTGAAGGAAGCATAATTCATGTCAGATCAAATAAAGCAACATAAACCTGATTATTACAGCAACCACTTTTTCAAAAATATTCTCGGTGGCTCAGCCTGTAATCCCACGCCTTTGGGAGGTTGAGGTGAGTGGATTGCCTGAGACCACAGGTTCAAGACCCGCCTGGGCAGGCGAGACATCATCTCTACAGTAAAATCAAAAAAATTAGCCGGGTGTAGTAGCATGCACCTGTAATTCCAGCTACTCAGAAGGCTGAGGCGGAAGGATCACTGGAGCCCAGCAGGTGGAGGCTGCGGTGGCCGGGAGTGGCCACTGCACTCCAGTCTGGGTGATAGAGTGAGACTCCAACTCAAAAAAAAAAAAAAAATTATCAAAGATCCAAATTTTGTTTAAATTATTTATTGTTTATATATCTACTTTAAAATTAAGTCCAAATTTTGTTTAAATTATTTATTGTTTATATATCCACTTTAAAATTAAGTACTACTCCTCAAAATACAGAAGCTTCAGCCAGGAGTGGTGGCTCATGCCTGTAACAGTAGCCTTTGGGAACCGAGGAGAGAGGACTGCCTGAGCCCAGGGGTTCAAGACCAGCATTGGCAATTTGCTGAGACCCTGCCCCTACAATACACCAAAAATGTATTCAGGCATGGTGGTGCATGTACCTCGTTCCAGCTTCTTGGAAGGCTGAGGCAGAAGGATTGCCTAACCCCAGTTGGTCGAGTCTGTGGTAGCTGTGAGTGTGCCACTGCACTCCAGCCTGGGAGACAGTGAGACTAACTCAAAAAATAAATAAACAAATTTAAAGATTATATACAAGGAAATATTAAAAGCCCTATAAATCAATTAAATTCAAATTAAGATAAATTTAATGTGATAACTATGATGAGATGAAATTAATTTTTCCTTGTAATATGAATCTGGTTCTAATTACTATGACACAAGTTCTAGAGTTCAGCATGTTTATACTACTATGTGCTACAGGGAAACTAAACTCTGCTACTACTTTTTTCTATTCCAGGAATTTTTTTCAAATATGCAAATCATGGTACATAATTTTAGATATTACACAGATGGAACATTCCTATTTTAATTATAGTAACTATAAAATGTATATACAATTAGCACTTGACACCCACAATTTGAAGGATATGTAAAAAACAGCCCATGTGAAACAAGTTAAAGAAAAATTTTAAGGAAAGAGTATTATCAGTAATAAGCTAATTTAGCAAAAATTGTATAGGTACTGCTTAAATGACTAAAGTCTGGAAAATACTGTTCTATTTGAATCACTGCAAAGTCTTCATAACAATGCCTTTTGGTAAAAATGCAAATTACACCAAATTATTTACAAATTAAGTCTGTCTGTCTCTATACTTATTATTTGTAGCCACCAAAATTGTAAACACAAATACAAATGCAAGCACTGACATCATGGAACAGTGTTCAAAAGTTATCATTCAGATGTCCCAAAATATGCCTTAACATAAAATTGACTATAAAAATCAAATCTCAAAACTAAAAATTCTCAGATAATTAAGAACCCATGCGAATTGGTCTATAAATTCCAGCCTGAAAAACACTAAACTAAAGCTAAACTAATAATCTGCAATGTGAAAACTTATGAAAGCAGCTGTCATTTGGTTACTGTTAAAACGGGACTACCGGCACTCAAAGTCCTAAATATTGATCCAAAGTACTTTCATAGGCCTTTTTCTGTTTTATCTCTATAATTACACAATATCAATTCTAGGTGGATATTTCTTAGTCTAGAATTACACTTCTCATCATAAGGGAAAACAATCACAAATGAAAACTATTTAACACAAACCTTTGATGTTTTCATGATATTCTTCAAATGATTAATGGCCAGAAGTCTCACAGGAGCAAGTGGATGATTCAGACTGAGCATCAAAGAAGCATCAGAATCTGCTAAAAACTGCAGGGTTCAACACAATTATCAAATGACTTCACTGAATCTGAGCAGCTTATGATCAAGATTAAAACCCAGAGAAAACTACTCCAAACCACCCAATATATTCAGTAACAACCATCTAATTACAGAAACCCAAACATAAAGCAAAATCTTTGTTTCCAGAACATGATAAATTACAACAGATGGAAAAAAATCTCTATTGTTAATGGTACAATTCCATGTATACCTGTGTCTGTAAGTAGATTTACTTTAGTAAAGTAATTCTATGAAGTAATTCTGTATTCTTTATGTATATCTGATTCCAAATTAAAGAGCACCCAAGATAAATCACTATATCAGCACCTCACTGTAGACAGAATGCAACTCATCTCAATGATACAGCAAACAGTGACAGTCAAAAGAGTAACAACTTAGTTCACTTAAGTAATCAGACTAAAAAGGAAGTTTATCTATCAACCCAAGCACTGGAAATGCAACATTTTAAAGATGGAAGTCTAATTATGAAGGAGAAAAACTAAAACAATCATATTTCTCTTCATATTATCTGTTCTTAGGCTAATTAAATGAACTGCTTAAATGTCTCTCACTTCAAATATAAAGATTTAGGATTGAATCATCAAGAAAATTTCTGAAGTCTTAATGTAATCATGAAATAGGACACTTCTCTCCTTTTCTAGTCAATAATTTAAATAGCTATATGTGGCTAGTGCACTAGAAAGCAGACCTAAGAGAAAGATAAGGAATATTAGAAATCTATGTGAGGCCACTCTTTGATAACCATTCGTGAATATCTTATATAAAATTCCCAAACAATACTTCTCCTGAAATATCATTTTCAGTTACTTAAAAATTTTTGTACTGTTCTCCAATTAGTCAATTCCTGCCTCAGAGCCTTACTTTGGGTAACTAGGCAAACTGTATACAGTCTCACCTCTGTATGAAATGCTCCATGGAGGCAGAAAAGTGGAAAATTTCCTTCTGGAGCTCTTCATATAACCACACAAATGCACTCATAATTGTCATAATTCCTCTGGAGAAGAACAACATACCTGATACTTTCCTCCACTTGTAGAAAGAGAAATAAATTGGTGAAAAAGCTCTTGTTTTTTCAGATCTGCAATTTCCTTTAGGCGTTCCTCCAATACAACATCTAAAGTTCTGGGGTATCTGAGAAGAAATTAAAGAGTTAATTCATTATTCTTAATAAGTTTATTAACCATGTACACTACACATATATAGTGGATAGACATAAAACTTTAAAACTTACTGAGAATGCGACTTACATTACAATTAACAAATGGTCTATATAAAACCAAATGACATTTGTCAAGTTCGTTGCTATGACTACTCCAATAAAAAAATTATACTCTCCACAGCTCCCATACAACTATTTCCTCTTATATCTCAAATATTTGTAATTTCTATACTCATTTCCATGACAAGAAATGTCTTAGAAAATAATTTGTATACTCGCCTCTTCCTAAAAGAGGAACAATTCACTATATAAAGATGTGACTTGCATAAATCACATCTTTACAGAACAGGGGTGCACATTAAAGAAGAGTATAAACATACACACAACTTACTTGCTTTCTAAAAGTCTAATGAATGGAAGCAGTTGCTCATTCAGCAAAGATACTTTATTAGGATTGATTTCTTCCTGTGAACTATATGAAATATACTCTTCAAAAAGAAGGCTGCAAAAGAAAACAAATAAGAAAAACAAGAAAACAAATATCAGCACACGTGAAAGTCATCATTTATTGAGTATCTGCAATGTTCTCAGTGTTTCAGAAATACTATTTCTAATGATCATACACAGGGTAGAAATTATAATACTTATTTTACAGATAAAGAAACGAGGGTGTAAGAAGTCGTCCAACTTGCCTGTGAGGACAGCAACAAAAGCCAACACTTAGCAAAGTCCTTCTGTACCATAAAAAGTAGAGTTGGGTTTTACTTTTTTTGAGACAGGGTCTTGCTGGGACCTAGGCTGCAGTGTGGTGCCATGATCATGGCTCACTGCAGCCCTGAACCCCTGGGCTCAAGTGATTCCCCACCTCAGCCTACCAAGAAGCTAGGATAAGCACTGTACGCCACCTTACCCAGCAAATTTTTAAAACATTCTTTTGTAGAGACGAGGTCTAGCTATGTAGCCATATAGCACAGACTGGTCCAGAACTTGGGCCTCAAGCAACCCTTCTGCCTTGATCCGGTCTGATCCTAGAGCGTACGCCTGACAGTACTTCATGTGTATACTCTCATTTAATTCACAAACCAACCCTTTGAGAAAGGGGCATGAATGATGCACCCCTGCACATGAGTACCTGCCTGATGTTACACAATGGCAAAACCAGATGCTGTCTAACCTCCAGAACTTACTACACTACTGGAAGTGGTGGAAGCAGCATTCACACCCATGTCTGACTGCAACGCCTACATTCTTTTCACTGTATCAATTTGCCCTTTAATTAAGAAAAAAAAAAGGAAGACTGAGTTATCTTTAAGAAGAGAAATAATCTTTCCTCCACACCTATCTTCAATATTATGTTTCTAATTGATATTTACTGAATTATCACCTGTAATGTATTGTTTCGGGCAATATGGTCCATTTATTAATAGAAAACTTTAAACAGCCAGAAGTTTCATTTACCCAAATTTAGCTTACCCATAAACTTTCCATTTTTATCTATAAGCACTAAAGACAAGCAAGAAAATTACTTTTCCTTTTTATGCTGCCATAGTTACTAGATTAAGTACTTAAAGAAATGATACAGACAAAGCAAGATACACATTAAAAAGAAATACTGGAAAACTTCTACCAACTTTGAAAAGTATACTAAGCCATAAAAATGTAATTCAAAAGGCATGTCAAAAATAATGCCTTACCTAGCCAACAAATGGTCTAAGTTGTTCTTTAGTGATATTTTTGTAAGTATAGCTTCTAAATGTCTCTTGTAGATTTCACCATCCGCTCCTTCAGTTTCTTCTCCTTAAAATATAACAAATTAAAACTGAGCTGGGAAAAAAATTTTTGCACGCTCACACTATTATATTTACTTATAGCAGAAAATCTGTCTAGAAGTAATTTTGTTCATAATATATACGTTGATATCAAGCTTTTTACCTATTTTCAAAAGTTTATCTTACCTCTTCATTTATGTTTTCAAAGCATTTTTGTATCCACTACCCTCATTTGTCCTTTACCTGAAATTCTCTATATACATATTTTTAACAAGTATTATCATGCTTATAACAATGATAAAACAAAAGTGCAAACATTATATAGTCTTTCCCCAGTTCACATTATAAGTTAGTGAAAGTTGGGCCATGAACCTAGATCTCAACAAACTAACTCTGCAAACAGGCTAAACTTTCATCTCAATACAGGCCTCCTTATTGAACCAAGAGCTGTCATTTTCTTTTCCAGAATTAGTATAAATGTATGAATCTGGTATTAGTCACTGCCTTCAAAGACTAAGACCACATTACTCATTACCATCAGAATAGAAAGAATACATTTTCATATACGCTAGTTATTTTTCTAAAATGCACATTTAAAACAAAATTTGGTCAAGAAAACCTTATTTTCCAATAGACTGACATAATTTTAGAGATGTCTTTCTTAGTATTCTCCAAGTAGCAACAGGATCAAGTGTTTCTTCCTTATCTCTCTGTGTTTATTTAAGATAAAAACAAATAATGCAAATAATTGCTCTGGAGTTAACCTTTTGGCTTCGTTTTCTAATTTGGATTTTTATATATAAAATTTTCTTTTTCTTATATTTTTAATGACTTTAGGGGAAAAAGCCTCTGGCAACTGGATGAAACATTGATTGTAAATGGATCACTAAAGTTCACTAAAAAACTAAATAAGATAAATGTGTACCCAGTAATAATTATTTTAAAATAATTCTAGTCTTTTTCACGTACAGACTGTTTAAGAACACACAAAAAATAAAGAATTCTAAGAAATCACTCAGTTAATAAGAATCTCTCTTCAACCAACCCGCGGCCCACCCCAAACATCTCTCGCATAAGAGAAACAGACAGCCTGCATAAAAACAGTAGCCGAAATTTTCAATATTTTAAAGCTCTTAATCAGGACGTGGTTCCGATTTTAAGGGGATCAAACCCTAGACAGTTTCTAGACACAAAACAGAAACCACATACCTGTAACATGATGAATGATGGCGGCAACCAGATGGGGAAGCATGTAACGCAGGAGACGACTGATATCGTGAGCTTCAGAAATCCCCTGGAGCATTGCGATAAGCTCAGGAACATTGCACAAGTGAGGGAATGGCCTGTGAAGAAGCAAGCACACGTGATGTTGACCTTACAAGCTAGACCGCGAATAGCAGTATGAAAAATATACGTGTCACTTATCTCACCAAAAAAAATCATTCAAGATCGTTTCACTCGCCTCTAACTAGCATCATTTCTCAATTCAATTATACATACTTTTTCCCAAGGCTCTCTGGCTTCTGTCTCTGCAGGAGCACTATCAAGCAACCTAATCCATCCTTGACCATAGAGGGAATCTTGGTCAATGTTCTGATGATCTGTGATGCCAGTGAATTCACAAAGGTATCTTCCATTGTCACTTTCACAGAAATCTGACATATTATCATGTACGTTGCGGCTCTGTAATCTGGTAAAGATGATTTCAATCCCTAAATTTTTTTTAATATAAGGAAAAATAATAAACCATATTATTCTCTTCTACTTTACATGTTGCTTTTTTCCGACAAACTAGAAATATCATAAGCCAGAGATTAATAAACCTAGTGCACAGTCAACTACTCTTTAGGACACAGTGATAAGACTAGTTTGTTGGATGAGCATATGAATCTCAGAAAGTCTCCCAGCTCAAACTACCACCACCCAACAGGACTGAGCAAGCTCTTTTCCATGCAAACACCGATCCTGGGCAGGAGACTTCATTCAAATCACTAACAAAAGAAAACAGCAATTGATTAAAGATAGTAAGTTGAAATACTGGTGGGAAGCAACAAGCAGTACTTTTATGGGGCATCTGGGAAGGCAGCCGGCAACAAAGCACAAGGAAGAGAGACACCAAGAAGCAGGAGCCAACGTAAAAAGAAAGGTAACAAACTGCCCATGCTTCGAGCTAAAGACTAAACCTTATCAACCACCTGAGACAAGTTATGTCTTAAAAACACTTATGTCTAAATGAAATTTTAGAATTTTGATTATTACAAAATAATCTCCTTTATACAGCAGAGCCAACCTTTTGGATATATGGAAACAGTTTGGCGACGATATTGTCTGATAAGTCCTCAGCAGCTACTAATGCAGACACAATGGTGGAAGCATAGAAAGCCAAGAGCACCCTCAACTGAGCTGAGCTGCCTGGGTACTCAGCAAAAACCTGGAACAAGGAACACAAACAAAACACATTTAAGAGTGAAAGGTCAATCAGAAAAAAGTACAAAAATATTTACAGCTCTCATAAACTACTTCAGGCTTTGACATTTAAATTTTTTACCATGCAACATGTAATAAATATGGAGTATGATGAGAATGAGTAGCCTAATGATATTCCTGACATTTTTAGATGGTATCTTTGTATAGTAACTATAACTAGAATTTGGGAAGGAATAGATCATGTGTGTAGAAAAATCCTTTTGGAAATAAACCAATTCACAAAAAAAAAATGTCTTTCTTTGAGAAATATGAGCAATTTGACTGCTCATGTTTCAAAGCACCAGATCATTTAACAAAAGAAATTTCTTCAAAGTACCATTGTTATTAGGGAAGGTTTTAGTATGTTTTCTTCATTCACAGCAAGCAACCTTTGCAGGAAATTGTTTTCATGAAATAATATACTACTCACCTTCACAGATTTTGTCACCAGACTACAAATGAAATCCATAAATCCAAGATCTTTATAGCAGTGGGTAATCAAAGTTCCTTTGGCTAAGGGCACTCCAGATTGCTACTGACAGAAAGAACTATTAGGAACATGCATCAAACTAATCTTTGTTTGAAAGTACCTCCTCTTAGTAATGTCTATACATACAGTTCATAAATACAAAATACTCTCCCCTTACAATTGGTGGTGGTGATGAGACTAACACATAAAATCATACCAACTTCTGAAATTCAAGAGGTCAACAATGAAGGTGAAGGTACTCTGTGAAAAACGCTTATGTCACACTTTGATAAGTATTTACCTAAATCTGTGTTCTCTAGATTTGTATTATATTAATTCTATTGGTCAGATTTGGTTTTTAAGCCAATGTGATACGGTTTTGTCAGTGCTTTACAATAACACTGAGAGTAGAAATAGACTAGGAACCCAGAAACTTAAATTGCTATTCCTACCACCTAGCATGGTATTTGGTGTGTATTAGTGCTCAATAGTGAATGAATCAATGAAAGGTGCTTTTGAAGTGAACCTTAACAGGTAAGCGGTGTTTTGGATATGTGGAAAAGAGTGCCAAGGAAGCAGCAGGGTCTGGGGGCAGATCAGGGGAAAAGTGATTCTGATGCTGTGAGCAGAATGAATGTTGGGAAGAGCAGTTGATAAGAAGCTTTATCACAGGTTGGCCTTCTTGAACATTCTTTAGTTAAAGTATTTATATCCAGACTCATAAATTCGCCAATTAAAAAGTTCCCATTCCTGCCCTTTTGCTAATTCTGCCCTCGCTAGCACCATCAGTCACGTGTGCACAGCACTATGCGTCACGAGCCTCCTTTCCTCCTTGCTCCCCTCCAAACCTGCATCACCACGCTCAACATGCAGCCAAGTTCCTACCAGCAACGTACATCTCCTTTCCTCTACTGTACGTTGGAAACAAAGTGCTAACGGTAAGTCAGGTGGTTTTACTACAGTAGTGTGCTATCTGATCTTACCCAGACCCTCCCTGTCAGGCAAGCATTCTTTTACTAATCTATAATTCAATTCCTAGCATCTTCTTCACAACTTTAGTAATTTCCTGAAGCCTTTCAAGTTATCCTTATCCTTTTAATTTTTGAAGTATTCTGCCTTTCTTCACCGCCAACTTTTTTTTTAAGCTCGCAGCTGCAAAATTTAAAATGCCAAATGATACCGTGTAGTGGAAAGACACAAGCTCTGAAATCGGATAAAGATCCAAATCTCAAAACTCGCCACTTTATAGTTATGTAAACTTTGGCTAGTAACTTGATTTTCTGAGCCTCTCCTCATCTGTAAGAATGGAGTTTTGTGAGAATCAAAGATAATATAATGTAAATTGCCCAGCCTCATGTCAGGTATTAAATAAAAGTTAGACATTATTAATAATATTTTCAAATGGAAGTTAGAAAAAAAGAGTGAGAGAGATAATATCTGGACTATCCTCGGGAGCACTGACTTTATTTTTTCCAAATTAATCCTTTAATCAAGATTTGTAATGATCATAGATATGTGGCATTCAGCAGTCATACCTTAACTGGCAACAACCAGAACCATTTGTGCTTTGAATTGTTAATTTTCAGAAGCTGTATAACCCGCACAAATATTCTTGTCTCATGGTATGGCAGAACACAAGCAATGAGGCTGTCTTGATTATAAAGATGGATATGGAACCTGGGGAAAAAAGCAAACAATTCAAACAGACACAAAACTTAATAAGCACCTATTTCCTTACACATCCAAACTGTGTATCAATGAACTCAAATAACCTAGAATGAATATCAACAAAAACAGCCACAGAATTATATGACATAGAGCACTGCGATGCTAAGTCCTCAAGTTTACATTCAAGTACGCCTCAACATGGTCCTGCCAAGGCCTGTGCAGCAATATTTTTGAACACTAAAAATAAAAACCTACATCCCACTCACTTTCTCTCAATGTTTTTAAAGTAACTGGTCAACTAGGCAGCAAAGCTCAGCTCCTCCCTGTGCTCTAGTCACCTTACACAGCATTCCTAACTATCATAATTCTAAAACCAAAAGACTATTTAAAAAGAAAATCACATCAATTTATTTGGATTTTAAAAATTTTCCTTTTCAGCTGGGCTCGGTGGCTCAGCCTGGAATCCCGCGCCTTGGGAGGCTGAGGTAAGTGGATTGCCTGAGCCTGCGGGTTCGAGACCCACCTGGGCAACTTGGCGAGACCTCATCTCTACAATAAATCAAAATATCAGCCGGGCGTGGTAGCGTGCGCCTGTAGTTCCAGCTACTTGGAAGGCTGAGGCTGAAGGATCGTCGGAGCACAGCAAGTCGAGGCTGAGGTGGCCGGGAGCGGCCACTGCACTCCAGTCTGGGCAACAGAGTGAGACTCCAACTCAAAAAAAAAAATTTTCCTTTTCAAATTACAACCATGTACAACTTGTCGATGAACTTCACAAAACTTTGTATTGGTCCCTCTACACTAATAAAACAAGTATATTAATTCTGTCAGATACATTAAATCTTTCCCAGTCTTTAAGACCTACCGCAAATGCCTCCTTCTTCAAGATGCATTTTTTAATTCTCCCAAACAAGTGACTTCTCTTCTGTCTAAACCTATCTGTTCACATTTACTTTTCTTATAGTACTATACCATGGCCTTTGATTCTAAGATGCTACTTTTCCCATGAAACTTTACTCAACTATTCCAGGCAGACCTACATCCACAAAATACTGCTTTAACTTTTATTATGGCCAGGTGCAGCAGCTCAGGCCTGTAATCTCAGCACTTTGGGAGGCCAAGGTGGGAGGATCACTTGAGTCCAGGAGTTTGAGACCACCCTGGGAAACACAGCAAGATACTGTCTCTACAAAAATTCCAAAAAAAAAAAAAAAAAATTAGCCAAGTGTGGTGGCACACACCTGTAGTCCCAGGTACTCGGAAGGCTGAGGTAGAAGGATAACCTGAGCCCAGGAGACTGAGGTTGTGATGAGCCATGATTGTGCAACTGCACTCCAGCATGGGTGACAGAGTTAGATCCCGACTCAAAAAAAAAACCCAAAAACCTTTATTGTGGCATTAATTTCAAAACAGTAATCAAGAACAGCCTACTTGTCCACATATCAAACTTGATGTCTGTTGAATAAATAAGTTATCTAAAGAAACATGAAAAATGCAAAAAGTACTCCTTACATTAATGATCTACTAAGGAAAAAGGAGAAATTAAAAGCTAGAAAACGTGAAAGATTAGACTTTTGAATTTTTTTTTTTAATCTGAAGAGTCTAATGATCTGATAATCAGACAAGATTGGGTGTATGGCTGTAGACTGGTCTGATAATCAAAAGACCCCAATTAAAATTGTTTTCTCAGTGACACACTTGCTTCCTATTAAAAACAACAACAACAACAACACTTTATCTCCATGTCTCCAATTAATGAAACAGAAATCTGCTTTTAAAACACATATATTAGGGGAATAAATAAAAATGTATACGCTGATTAGCCTCGGTGGCTATGGTCTGTAATCCCAGCAGTTTGGAAGGCCGAGGCAAGAGTATTGCCTGAGCCCAGGGGTTCGAGACCAGCCTGGAAACTTGGTGAGACTTCATCTCTACAATATATCAAAAATTAGCCAGGCATGGTAGTGCATGCCTATAATTCTGGCTACTTGGAAGGCTGAGGCGGAAGGACTGCCTCAGCCCAGCAGGTCAACCCTGGGGTGGCCGTGAGCGTGCCACTGCACACCAGAGTGGGTGACAAAGTGAGAAGGTGACTCAAAAAAAAAAAAAGTGTATGCTAATAATTGACAAAATAAACTGAGTACATTTCATTTACTGAAACAATTCCCAAGGTAGATAAAAGATCAGACCTTGGAAATAAACTTCAGTTGTATACTAGCTCTACCACTTAATAACGGTGTGACTCAGGCAAATTAACCTCTCTAAGCATCGTTTTCTCAACCCTAAAATGCAGACAATATAAGTATCTCCCCACAGGAACGCTATGAGGATTAAGTGAGACAATGCAGGTCAAGTGCTTACCAGGATCTGGTACATAAATGCTCAATACACGTTATTTTTGTTTTTCTTAAGAAATGGTATTTTGGCAGGGCACAGTGGCCCAAGCCTGTAATATCAGCACTTTGGGAGGCCAAGGAAAGAGGATTACCTAAGCCCAGGGGTTCGAGACCAGCCTGGGCAACATGGTGAGCTGTCTCTACAATAAAATAAAAAAGTTAGTCAGGTGTGGTAGAGCGTGCCTGTAGTTCCAGCAACCTGGAAGGCTGAGGCAGAAGGATCTCCTGAGCACAGCAGGTCAACACGGGGCTGGCCATGCACAAGCCACTGCACTCCAGCCTGGGTGACTGAGTGAGACCCCAACTCAAAAAAAAAATAAAAAAATAAAAAAAAAGAGAAGCAGGCTTATCTTGCACAACAGACACTACATTAATCCTTTAATATATCTAATTTTTCGGCTTTAAATTGATACATGTTCTCAACTACTTAATTTTTTTTAAAGATCAAAGGAATAGCCCATAGTTACTTCTGTAATCCCATCAGTTACCTGCGAATCAGCCACTCCAAACATTTCTGTGCTGGCTTAAGCAGGAAATAAGGGGACAAGTGAATAAGGAATAATGAAATGTTTTCATCCAACTGTTTGTTCACTGCTTTGGTCTGAACGCTGCGCTCCAGGGTTTTTGCTAGCTGGCTAAACAATGGTGCTTCAAAACGCTCAAAGGAAGGATCAATTCCAAGCAGTTCTTCTAAGCCAGTGCATCCTTAAAAAAAAAAAAAAAAAAGGGGAAGTTTATTTAATAATTCTTTGCAAGCAAACTCATCCCACCCCTCTTTTAGTCTCACATACCCCCTAAAAGTATCGGAATCCTTTTAGTATGTATAAAAATCTTCAGTCTCAAACACAAATTTCTAGCTTTTACATCCCCTGCAATAACTAGCCCAGTCCTGGGAAGGACTCTCCTTCACCCCAGTCATTGCTTAGGTTCCCCTTTAGTTGTTCTTCCTTTTCACATATTAGTCGACCTCTTTAGCCTTGCTTCTTCATCCGAGAATTGCAGACAGCATTAACCACACACATTTCAAGCACCAACCATCATTTGTTACATTCTCTTTCCCTTAACAGCACAAGGAAACATGTTAGAAACTGCTAAAGAAGAGCGTGGGGCAAAAACAAAAACAAACAAACAAGCAAAAAACAGGAAGATACAGCAACATTCAGAAAACAAACTCCATAAAGCGATCTTGTAAGCGAAGAGTGGCTCACCAAGGGCAAAGGCGGTGTCCCTGTCGAGAGTGGCCGCTTCCTTGGGGTCAAACAACAAAGAGGCAACTTCATCTCTAGATAAGAGGCTGGGATCGCTTTGAGGGAGGGCGAGTCGTTGGAGCTGCTGGGCCAAGGACGTCATCTTTCACGCCAGCGGAGTTCTCACACGGGCTAAGAAACACAACCCGTGAGAAGTCTCCACGAAACCCTAAGCTGGCTTAACTGGAAGCAGCAAATGTCTCCTAGGCAACTCTTTTCTGCACTCAGCGCCCTCGCGGGGCTCTCGGGCCTGGGAGGTGCAAAAGCCACGGCAACCGCCTTCAACAGCGCATTCCCGCGCCCGGGGCCGCGCCGAGGAATCCTCCAACCGCGACTCTGCCGACTCCCGGGAAACCCGCAGACACCTTACCCTCCCTCGATTTACCGCCCCGACACGCAGCTGCCTCAAGCGGCTCCATGCTCTCCTCACCCGGAGTTCGGGATTCGGGTAGGACTCCAAAGCCGACCTCACAGCAGCTCCCACATGGTACTAAGCAGCCCAGCCTTCGCCCGGAAATCCAAAGCACGCCTCAACGGAGCTTCCGGTTTCAGGCGCTACGGCAAGGGAAGAGGTACAAGCTTACTGGAAGCGCGACGGGCTGGCCCCGCCTCCCGGAACGTAGCCCCGCCCCCGCAGCCCCGCCGAGCCTGTTCAGTCTCAGGGTTTGGGGGCGGTGGCTCAGAGTTGAGGTCTGTGCTCCGTCCAGCTTGATGTCTGAAGGTTTCTGTCACTGGCTAAGTTTTTTGCGAACTTTAAGGGTACATAGCCAGAATCATTTATCCGACGTAGACTTGTCCAACTTTCACTGTGTGCCAGCAGCATTGCACAGTGATTAAAACGACGGGTCGGAAAGTCACGCAGCTTCGGCCTCAAATGCCGGCGCTAGCGCCCCTTGGCTGGGTGACCTCCGGCTAATTATTTCCTCTCTCTGAGTTTCGTTACTTCCTCTGTAAAATGGAACAGGTCGAGAATTTCATAATACGAGCTACCGATCCTAGAACCGATCTATGCGTGCTGGACTCCACTGCCCCAATGCTTCGGGGCGATCCTGTTTTGTTGCACTCCTGGGGAGCCTATAGTACTGTTTCTATTTTTATTTAAAAACCAAACCTCTTAGGGCATAATTTGCAAACGACGAATGCATCCACTTCGGTGGAACAGTTCGCTGCCTTTCAGAAAATACTTACAGATGTGAGTATCGCCCCAGTCGAAATCAGGAAGTTTCCGCCGCCCCTACGTTTCCTCTTGCCTCTTTGCGAAGATGCCCATCGCCACCCACCGCCCTAGACCACCACTGGCCTTGGCGCCACTACAGATTAGAGTTGCCGGAGAGTGTGCTACGTGTGCGTCTACCAGATCTGTTTCCAAAACAGTCTGGCGTGAGCTAGAAATAGGATGAAGTGGCCTCACATCTGCCCGGGATGGAAGCGTGAGATCGGATGCTCCGCCGGGGCTGTCCCGGATGCGTCCATCTCCCTCCGGAGACGGAGCTCTCTGGTGCCAGGGGTCAGTCTTTCTGTAGTCCTCTTCCCCGGAGAATGTGGGAAAGGCAGCTCCAAATTTGGAGGCTGCTTTTTGCTGCATTTCACGCAGATTCTCTCCCTTGTATTAACAGAATCTTTTGTTGGTTTACTTTAGCAGCATGGAAAACAATCAAACTTTTTGTCCCCGGTTATTTGTACAGAGCGTTAATAATCTTTTCACGTGGTGGTGAGTGCTTGGCAGAGAATAACATGAAAATCCTGGTGGTACCCATTTTATCCTTACAAACAGATCTCTCAGGGAATTTTTTACTCTTTCTAACGTGTCACAGGAATTTTACTTTCACAAAAACCATCAGCTTTGGATATTTAGTAAGAAATGAAAACCAGTCCGATTTTATACACAAGACATATTTGCTTTTTTGCTTTACAAAAATCCTCTATATATGTTTAAAAGCTGTATCAAAGTGAAACTTTAAAAAGTGCCACTGATATTTGCTTCCATTCTTTCTATGGCATCTCCAATGATACCGTCTACCATTGGTACCATCTACCATGCCAAATTTTACTTTGGAAGTAGGCTTGAAAAGCAAAAAGGAAAACAAGTTAGTTTCATAAATATAATTTATTTTCTTAAAGCTTTTATTTGAAATATATATAGTGGTTTGAATTATACGTTTCCCCATTTAAAAATAATTTTTTTGGATTTGTTCCTGATTGTTTTCTGATTATCAGCTTCTTGGATTTTGTGACTATGCCTGTCTCACAGATTATTCAATTGAAGACTAAAGCAAAACTTACTTTCTCAGTTATTTTTGAATTTAAAATGCCAGTTCGAGATCATACATAGTTCTGCAATTCTCCCATCTAATAATCTTTTTCATGGCTCTTAATATTTTATATTCACAAAGGCATAATTTTGGCTATATTTCTTGCTGCAAGGAAAAACATCGTTTTAGAGATGACATTTTAACTATGCATCCTTTCATTCTGATGGAGAAGGTCATCTAGTAGAGTGATGACTTCTCATTTTAATCAGTGTTCATGGCAAGGGATCTACCTAAAAAAAAAACAGAAAGAAAATTGTAAGTGTGATTTGAATGAATTGGTTATTTTTTATTTTGAGTGAGAGTCTCACTCTGTCACCTAGACTGGAGCACTGTGGCACAATCGCCTGCTGGGCTCAGGCGATCCTTACACCTCAGCCTTCCAAGTAGCTGGCACTACAAACATGCTCCACACACCTGGCTAATTTTTAAATTTATTTTATTTATTGTAGATATGAGGTCTCTCCATATTGCCCAGGCTGGTCTCAAACTCCTGGGCTTAGGCAATCCTCTGGCCTCGGCCTCCCGAAGTGCTGGGATTACTGGCAAATCACTGCACCCGGCAAGTTATTTTGAAAGGAAATTCTGCCTCTCCCAATCCACCCTTTAAAGTCCTGAGTACAGATACTTTGATTCATTCCATGTGTCTTTTATGCCGAACTGAGGATAGAGTGGAACTTGCATTCCAGTAGGAAAAGAGGCAATACACAAATAGATAAACCAGAAAACCATCATGTAGTGTGACAAGTACTTGATAACAATAATACAAAGCAATATGATAGAGGTGATTAGAGGGTGTCATCAGGTTTGAGTTGTTGCAGACGACTGTCTGAGGAAGGGTCATGAAGCTGAGACCTGAATGAGAAGTCTCGAAAAAATGGAGATCATCCCACTTAGGATTGATCTTGGTGTTTACTCCACTCCAATCACAACAGATATCATTTCTGATGTCAGATATATCAGACTGGTATTTTCTTCATAGATGTGACCACTATCTGAAATGATCTGATTTGTCTGTTTACCTGCTTATTTCTTGTATCCACTCACTAGAATAACAGCTTCAGCAGACTGGCATTAAGCCTACCTCTAAGATTTGTGGAGCTTGGGCAAGAGTACAAATGGACTTACTATTGTAAGTCTAACTATTTAAACGTTATACGTAAATTTAGCACATTATTAATCAGGATATGCTATAATCTCCAACACTGACAAGTAAAATTTATAATGACAAAATTAAAATGTTTTTATATAACTGAAAATCAGCAAAATCTAAAAGATGACTGCATTTAATTATTATTATACCTGCTTGAGTGTCCTGTTGACTGTTTGATAATTTTGGATGAGTCATAAAAACTATAGTTAATACATTTCCTATATATTTTGCCCATAAAATCTTAGTTTCATTTCATAAGATTTTCATGTAACTGTGTGCCACTGGCAATAATGATCAACAGAATTAAAACACAAAACGTAATTATATTCAAAGGATATAAAATTTGCATTTTTTGTGAGTCAGGGTTTTGCTCTGTTGCCCAGGCTGGAGTGCAGTAGCACAGTCATGCCTCTCTCAGCCTCCAACTCCTGGGCTCAAGTGATCCTCCTGTGTCAGCCTCCCTAGTAGCTGGGACTACAGGAGTGGAGTGTACCACCCCACCCAGCTAATCTTTTGATATTTTGTAGCGACGCGATCTCGCTATGTTGCCTAGGCTGGTCTCGAACTCCTGGGCTCAAGCATTCCTCCTGCCTCGGCCTCCCAAAGTGCTGGGATTATAGGAATGGGCCACCGGACCCGACCATTGAATGTTTTTATAAAAATATAAATTAAGCCGGGCTCGGTGGCTCAGCCTGTAATCCCGCGCCTTTGGGAGGCTGAGGTGAGTGAATTGCCTGAGCCCATGGGTTCGAGACCCGCCTGGGCAGTGAGATCTCATCTCTACAATAAATCAAAAAATCAGTTGGGTGTGGTAGCGCATGCCTGTTATTCCGGCTACTTGGAAGACTGAAGTGGAAGGATTGCCGGAGCCCAGGAGGCAAGGCTGCGGTGGCCTGAAGCGGCCACTGCACTCCAGTCTGGGTGACCGAGTGAGACTCCAACTCAAAAAAAAAAAAAAAAAATTAATTAATTAAATTAAAAAATCAATACATTAAATATTATTTTGTACTTTTTTCAAAATATTTATTTTTTGTAAGAAGAAAATTGTAATTATAATTAGTTACCAACTTTGAAATAAAATTATTTAAATAAAGCTAAAGGTTTTTTTTTTGGTAAATATTACCTTATGAAATTTTGCATAAAAGTAAATTACTCACAAGTTTATCTTTCAATGCTCATTTAGTTGCCGGTGTAAAGAATTGGTATTAACCATCTTTTATGTTACATCTGTATCTGCCTATTTTCAAATTTAAGAATCATATGAATTGCTTAATATTGTTCAGTGTTCCTCAGCTGCTATATCTGCTAATTCCTGATTATAACTAGAACCATAAACTGGAAAACAAAAGGAAATAAGGAGTTACATGTTTGGAACTACTTAGATATCATACTTCATTAGGCAAAAATCTGTTATGTTCAGTAGTTTGAAAGGAAGAGTGTGACAAATTAATTTGTCTTTTATTTATGTAAACATTTCTATATCCAAATCCTCTCTGCACTCTCAAGCAGTATCTAGAAACAGTACACTCCACAAACCTTCAGAGTATTCAGGCAGGCCTGTCTTTTATTTTGAGGATACCAAGCAAGAGACCTGTTTTCCAGAAGCTTAAACTCATAAATCATGAGACCCGATGGTTAGGCTTATGAGTTATGCTACAGCAGGGATAAAT